ATTGTATTGTTCACAATATCGGGGGGCGGTCGGGTAGCCTAGTGGTTAAAGCGTTCGTTCGTCCGTCACGCCGAAGACCCGGGTACAATTTGTGAAGCCCATTTGTGGCGTCCCCCGTCGTGATATTACTGGAATATTGCTAAAAGCGGCGTAAATCCTCACTCACTCACTCAGAAGTGACATTGTATTCCAAGTGTATTGTTCACAATATCGGTCATTCGTGTGACATTGTATTCCAAGTGTACTGTTCACAATATCGGTCATTAGGGTGACATTAAATATTCAGTGTATCGTTCACAATATCGATCATTAGGGTGACATTTAATATCAAGTGCATCGTTGACAATATCGGTCATTAGTGTGACATTGTATATTCAGTGTATCGTTCACAATATCGGTCATTAGTGTGACATTGTATATTCAGTGGATCGTTCCCAATATATGTCATTAGGGTGACATTTAGTATTCAATGTATCGTTCACAATATCGGTCATTAGTGTGACATTGTATATTCAGTGCATCGTAAACAATATCGGTCATTAGTGTGACATTATATATCCAGTGTATCGTTCACAATATCGGTCATTAGGGTGACATTTAATATTCAGTGTATCGTTCACAATATCGGTCATTAGGGTGACATTTAATATCCAGTGCATCGTCCACAATATCGGTCATTAGTGTGACATTGTATATCCAGTGTATCGTTCACAATATCGGTCATTAGGGTGACATTAAATATCCAGTGCATCGTCCACAATATCGGTCATTAGTGTGACATTAAATATCCAGTGTATCGTTCACAATATCGGTCATTAGTGTGACATTGTATATTCAGTGCATCGTTTCCAATATCGGTCAACAGCCTGACATATATACATTGTATTGCACAACACATTAACTTGTGCTGTGAGATTAAGTTTAAATGAGGTTGAATAAATAAATAATGTAATCGCCGTTTTTACATCTCCATTTCAGGCATTTATTTCACATTTATATAACCAAAACTAAATCATTTTTTATTCAATTATATTAAGAGGACAAGCAATTTCACAAAACAGGTTCCGGCAATCCTTTACGTGATCACACACTCATGTCATCACAGGGATACGACTATATCCGGTCAGATCTCACCATGATCCCAAGTATAAGGTTGAATAGGTTGAAATGTTTTGTGCATTGAGGATATGAGGCATTAGCTCAGTTGGTATTTCCACATCTTGTGGCTGGATGAGTTCGACCCCTGACCACGGTGTGGTGAAATTGTCGGTCTAGTACGTGGTGAAATTGAAGGAAATAACAGACCCATCTTTTGGTACGTACATACTGACACCTGCAATGTAGAAACATCATGGTCAGTTTACGTGTGGATCAGTGCTTCGATGTACATATACACACTTATGCATACATACATGTCTACACACACACACACACACACACACACACACACACTCACTCACTCACTCAGTCACTCATTCACTCACATACATTCACATACACTTACATACACGCACACCACCAATCCACACACCTGCTGTAGGATTTCCATTGTCCAGGATCTCCCAGTAGGTCTTGTCCTCGGCGCTTCCAGCTAACTTGTTCATGCTCATCACATCGTATCCCGTCGCGTTTGGTGTCGCATAATATTCAGCGGTAAAACTGAATAAGAGCAATTAAATGACTGACATGTTTTTTTATTTTGTTATAAATATGAAATTGTCGTTTCCGTGCCTTTTGTCGCACAAGCGATGTTGGAGCAATTGAAATTGAGGTAGACCACGAAATTCTAGTACATGTTTTAAGAAGATCTTATGACAATCGAAGAGGGAAAGATTTATCTTATAGATTTAGGATAGGATGTGTCTCACTGAAGAGGTGATAGCTGACAGAAGAAGGTGTTGTTTGACAGAAGAAGGTGCTGTCTGACAGGAGAAGGTGTTATCTGACAGGAGAAGGTGTTGTCTGACAGGAGAAGGTGTTGTCTGACAGAAGAAGGTGTTATCTGACAGGAGAAGGTGTTATCTGACAGGAGAAGGTGTTATCTGACAGAAGAAGGTGTTGTCTGACAGGAGAAGGTGTTATCTGACAGGAGAAGGTGTTATCTGACAGGAGAAGGTGTTATCTGACAGGAGAAGGTGTTATCTGACAGAAGAAGGTGTTGTCTGACAGAAGAAGGTTTTGTTTGACAGAAGAAGGTGTTATCTGACAGAAGAAGGTGTTATCTGACAGGAGAAGGTGTTATCAGACAGAAGAAGGTGTTGTCTGACAGGAGAAGGTGTTTCCTGACGGGAGAAGGTGTTATCAGACAGGAGAAGGTGTTGTCTGACAGAAGAAGGTATTGTTTGACAGGAGAAGGTGTTATCTGACAGAAGAAGGTGTTATCTGACAGGAGAAGGTGTTATCTGACAGGAGAAGGTGTTATCTGACAGAAGAAGGTGTTGTCTGACAGGAGAAGGTGTTATCTGACAGGAGAAGGTGTTATCTGACAGGAGAAGGTGTTATCTGACAGAAGAAGGTGTTGTCTGACAGAAGAAGGTTTTGTCTGACAGAAGAAGGTGTTGTCTGACAGAAGAAGGTTTTGTTTGACAGAAGAAGGTGTTGTCTGACAGAAGAAGGTGTTATCTGACAGAAGAAGGTGTTATCTGACAGGAGAAGGTGTTATCAGACAGAAGAAGGTGTTGTCTGACAGGAGAAGGTGTTTCCTGACGGGAGAAGGTGTTATCAGACAGGAGAAGGTGTTGTCTGACAGAAGAAGGTATTGTTTGACAGGAGAAGGTGTTATCTGACAGGAGAAGGTGTTATCTGACAGGAAAAGGTGTTATCTGACAGAAGAAGGTGTTATCTGACAGGAGAAAGTGTTATCTGATAGGAGAAGGTGTTGTGTGACAGCAGAAGATGTTGTCTGACAGAAGAAGGTGTTGTCTGACAAAGAAGGTGTTGTCTGACAGAAGACGGTGTTATCTGATAAGAGGAGGTGTTATCTGATAGGAGGAGGTGTTGTCTGGCAGAAGAAGGTGTTATCTGATAGGAGGACGTGTTATCTGACAAAAGAGGGTGTTTTCTTACAGAAGGTGATGTCCTACAGAAGAAGGTGTTGTTTGACAGAAGACGATGTTGTCTGACAGAAGAAGGTGTTGGCTGACAAAGAAGGTGTTATCTGATAGGAAGAGGTGTTATCTGACAGAAGAAGGTGTTGTCTGACAGAAGAAGGTGTTATCTGACAGGAGAAGGTGTTATCTGACAGGAGAAAGTGTTATCTGATAGGAGAAGGTGTTGTGTGACAGCAGAAGATGTTGTCTGACAGAAGAAGGTGTTGTCTGACAAAGAAGGTGTTGTCTGACAGAAGAAGGTGTTATCTGATAGGAGGAGGTGTTATCTTATAGGAGGAGGTGTTGTCTGGCAGAAGAAGGTGTTATCTGATAGGAGGACGTGTTATCTGACAAAAGAGGGTGTTTTCTTACAGAAAGTGATGTCCTACAGAAGAAGGTGTTGTTTGACAGAAGACGATGTTGTCTGACAGAAGAAGGTGTTGTCTGACAAAGAAGGTGTTGTCTGACAGAAGAAGGTGCTATCTGATAGTAGGAGGTGTTATCTGATAGGAGGAGGTGTTGTCTAACAAAAGAGGGTGTTGTCTTACAGAAGGTGTTGTTTGACAGAAGAAGGTATTGTTTGACAGAAGAAGGTGTTGTTTGACAGAAGAAGGTGTTGTATGACAGAAGAAGGTGTTGTGTGACAGGAGAAGGTGTTGTGTGACAGGAGAAGGTGTTGTCTGACAGGAGAAGGTGTTGTATTACAGAAGAAGGTGTTGCCTGACAGGGGAAGGTGTTGTGTGACAGGAGAAGGTGTTGTGTGACAGGAGAAGGTGTTATCTGACAGGAGAAGGTGTTATCTGACAGGAGAAGGTGTTATCTGATAGGAGAAGGTGTTGTGTGACAGAAGAAGGTGTTGTCTGACAGAAGAAGGTGTTATCTGACAGGAGAAGGTGTTATCTGACAGGAGAAGTTGTTATCTGACAGAAGAAGGTGTTATCTGATAGGAGAAGGTGTTGTGTGACAGGAGAAGGTGTTGTTTGACAGGAGAAGGTGTTATCAGACAGGAGAAGGTGTTGTCTGACAGAAGAAGGTGTTGTCTGACAGGTGAAGGTGTTATCTGACTGGAGAAGGTGTTATCTGACAGGAGAAAGTGTTATCTGATAGGAGAAGGTGTTGTGTGACAGGAGAAGGTGTTGTTTGACAGGAGGAGGTGTTGTTTGACAGGAGAAGGTGTTGTTTGACAGAAGAAGGTCTTATCTGACAGAAGAAGGTGGTGTCTGACAAAGAAGGTGTTATCTGATAGGAAGAGGTGTTATCTGACAGAAGAAGGTGTTGTCTGACAGAAGAAGGTGTTATCTGACAGGAGAAGGTGTTATCTGACAGGAGAAGGTGTTATCTGATAGGAGAAGGTGTTGTGTGACAGGAGAAGGTGTTGTTTGACAGGAGAAGGTGTTATCAGACAGGAGAAGGTGTTGTCTGACAGAAGAAGGTGTTGTCTGACAGGTGAAGGTGTTATTTGACTGGAGAAGGTGTTATCTGACAGGAGAAAGTGTTATCTGATAGGAGAAGGTGTTGTGTGACAGGAGAAGGTGTTGTTTGACAGGAGGAGGTGTTGTTTGACAGGAGAAGGTGTTGTTTGACAGAAGAAGGTGTTATCTGATAGGAGTAGGTGTTGTCTGACAGAAGAAGTTGTTGTCTGACAGGAGAAGGTGTTGTTTGACAGGAGATGGTGTTATCTGACAGTAGAAAGTGTTGTTTGACAGGAGAAGGAGTTGTGTGACAGGAGAAGGTGTTGTGTGACAGGAGAAGGTGCTGTTTGACAGGAGAATGTGTTGTTTGACAGAAGAAGGTGTTATCTGACAGGAGAAGGTGTTATCTGACAGAAGAAGGTGCTGTCTGACAGAAGAAGGTGTTGTCTGAGAGGAGAAGGTGTTGTCTGACAGGAGAAGATGCTGTTTGACAGGAGAAAGTGTTATCTGACAGGAGAAAGTGTTATCTGATAGGAGAAGGTGTTGTGTGACAGAAGAAGGTGTTGTTTGGCAGAAGAAGGTATTGTTTGACAGAAGAAGGTGTTGTCTGACAGAAGAAGGTATTGTTTCACAGAAGAAGGTGTTGTCTGACAGAAGAAGGTATTGTTTGACAGAAGAAGGTGTTGTCTGACAGAAGAATTTTTATGTTTGACAGAAGAAGGTGTTGTCTGACAGAAGAAGGTGTTATCTGACAGGAGAAAGTGTTGTGTGACAGAAGAAGGTGTTGTCTGACCGGGGTGTTGTCCTTGAGAAGAAGATGTTGTCCTACAGAAGAAGTTGATGTCTGACAGAAATAAGGAGTGAGGACCTCGTGTTTTTGGCATGTGATTTATTGATAACTAATGATCGTAACTGTATAACATTGAATCTGTTGAGATTCAGTAGGAATTCATTGCATTGCATTTGAACAATGATTCGTTTTCAGGTATGTAATACTATACTGTACATTAAATGTAAGCATTGGTGAGTGGTGATTATATTAAGATACTCGAATTATCTGTAAACTACCGGAATAGCATGGCTGAATACCAAGCGTAAAATATATGTATGGAAAAGTCTGTAGTGTTCTGGGGAAACTGGACTGGTCTAGCACTGTGTGGAAAGTGCTATCTATCTGAGAACCCAGGAATAGGTGTGCAAGGCTAGTAGTAGCTATCCAAGAACCCAGGAGGAGGTGTGCAAGGCTAGTTGTAACTATCTGAGAACCCATGAATAGGTGAGCAAGGCTAGTAGTATCTATCGGGGAAGGCTAGTAGTATCTATCTGAGAACCAAGGAGGAGGTGTGCAAGGCTAGTAGTATCTATCTGAGAACCCAGGAGCGGGTGTGCAAGGCTAGTAGTATCTATCTTAGAACCTAGGAGGAGGTGTGCAAGGCTAGTGGTATCTATCTGAGAACCGAGGAGGAGGTGTGCAAGGCTAGTAGTATCTATCTGAGAACCCAGGAGGAGGTGTGCAAGGCTAGTGGTATCTATCTGAGAACCGAGGAGGAGGTGTGTAAGGCTAGTAGTATCTATCTGAGAACCAAGGAGGAGGTGTGCAAGGCTAGTAGTATCTATCTGAGAACCCAGGAGGAGGTGTGCAAGGCTAGTGGTATCTATCTGAGAACCGAGGAGGAGGTGTGTAAGGCTAGTAGTATCTATCTGAGAACCAAGGAGGAGGTGTGCAAGGCTAGTAGTATCTATCTGAGAACCCAGGAGGAGGTGTGCAAGGCTAGTAGTATCTATCTGAGAACCCAGGAGGAGGTATGCAAGGCTAGTAGTATCTGACTGAGAACCCAGGAGGAAGTGTGCAAGGCTAGTAGTATCTATCTGAGAACCCAGGGGGAGGTGTGCAAGGCTAGTTGTATCTGACTGAGAACCCAGGAGTAGGTGTGCAAGGCTAGTAGTATCTATCTTAGAACCCAGGAGGAGGTGTGCAAGGCTAGTAGTATCTGACTGAGAACCCAGGAGTAGGTGTGCAAGGCTAGTAGTATCTATCTTAGAACCCAGGAGGAGGTGTGCAAGGCTAGTAGTATCTATCTGAGAACCGAGGAGGAGGTGTGCAAGGCTAGTAGTATCTATCTTAGAACCCAGGAGGAGGTGTGCAAGGCTAGTAGTATCTGACTGAGAACCCAGGAGGAGGTGTGCAAGGCTAGTAGTATCTATCTTAGAACCCAGGAGGAGGCCAGGTATGCAAGGCTAGTAGTATCTGACTGAGGACCTAGGAGTAGGTGTGCAAGGCTAGTAGTATCTATCTGAGAACCCAGGAGTAGGTGTGCAAGGCTAGTAGTATCTATCTGAGAACCCAGGAGTAGGTGTGCAAGGCTAGTAGTATCTATCTTAGAACCCAGGAGGAGGTGTGCAAGGCTAGTAGTATCTGACTGAGAACCCATGAGTAGGTGTGCAAGGCTAGTAGTATCTATCTTAGAACCCAGGAGGAGGTGTGCAAGGCTAGTAGTATCTATCTGAGAACCGAGGAGGAGGTGTGCAAGGCTAGTAGTATCTATCTTAGAACCCAGGAGGAGGTGTGCAAGGCTAGTAGTATCTGACTGAGAACCCAGGAGGAGGTGTGCAAGGCTAGTAGTATCTATCTTAGAACCCAGGAGGAGGCCAGGTATGCAAGGCTAGTAGTATCTGACTGAGGACCTAGGAGTAGGTGTGCAAGGCTAGTAGTATCTATCTGAGAACCCAGGAGTAGGTGTGCAAGGCTAGTAGTATCTATCTGAGAACCCAGGAGTAGGTGTGCAAGGCTAGTAGTATCTATCTGAGAACCCAGGAGGGGGTGTGCAAGGCCAGTAGTATCTATCAGAGGTTACAGGAGGAGGTGAGCAAGGCTAGTAGTATCTGACTGAGGACCTAGGATGAAGTATGCAGAGATGGTAGTATCTAACTGAGGACCAAGTATTAATGCAGCAGTAATCCTACTGGAAATGCGGATCGATGGCAACGGCCTCCTGTAGGAAGTAGATGAGTTCTCTCTGAGGTTTCATCTCAAGCTTGACAGTAGACTTGAACGTCGGCGACTTGAGGCTATTCTCCACATTGATGATGACCGTGATATTAGGACCGCACATGCAACAAGGGCAGGTGACACTCCTGAAAGACAACGACATTTCATGTATCACTTTTGTATTCGAATTCAGTCGTGAAATTATCTATTATCAGTCGTGAAATTATATTAAACTTATCTAAAAAGTTGATTTATTACTGTCACAGATTGAACGACTATAACCCTTTAAAGCGCCTCATACTTTGACTTTTCAGATTATTTCTAGTCAGTGTGAACAGAACGGACGTGAAGTGTATATCATATAATATCAACGTGTTATTTGGCAAGAAATGCAACATCGTCTTATCATTAAGCATAATCTGTGTACACTTGGAAATGTGGGTGAATATGTTAACATGATATACAGGCAAGTTACTGTGTCAAGATCAACGTTGTTAGAACAGGTATTTATTTTAGCAAGCAAACAATTTCTTATTGTGCACCATGAGGCGAAATTACCCAATTCCCTCCAGCACACCAAATAATCAATGTCTACTTAGTGAGAGACATGTATACTTACTCCTGGCCAGTCAGTGCGTGAACCACAAAGCAGGCCAGCAGACTCATGCACGATAGTGTATGCATTGTTCTTGTTGGTAAACCTAAAAAAATATAAAAGATAAAATCTTTAAAAAAACATCTTTGGAAAGGACCCAGTCATCTTAGGTACATGTACAGTACCTTACATAGTTGACATGGATCTCAGTGTCCGTGTAGGCTGGTAAAGTAACGCATAGAGTGGACATGGACAGTTATGTCCGTGTAGGCTGGTACAGCAGCACACACAGTGGACATGGACAGCATTGTCCGTGTAGGCTGGTACAGCAGCACACACAGTGGACATGGACAGCATTGTCCGTGTAGGCTGGTACAGTAACATACACAGTGGACATGGACAGTATTGTCCGTGTAGGCAGGTACAGTAACATACACAGTGGACATGGACAGTATTGTCCGTGTAGGCAGGTACAGTAACATACACAGTGGACATAGACAGTATTGTCCGTGTAGGCAGGTACAGTAACATACACAGTGGACATGGACAGTATTGTCCGTGTAGGCAGGTACAGTAACACATACAGTGGACATATACAGTATTGTCCGTGTAGGCTGGTACAGTAACATACACAGTGGACATGGACAGTATTGTCCGTGTAGGCTGGTACAGTAACATACACAGTGGACATGGACATTATTGTCCGTGTAGGCAGATACAGTGGTACACACAGTGGACATGAACAGTATTGTCCGTGTAGGCTGGTACAGTAACACATACAGTGGACAAAGACAGTATTGTCCGTGTAGGCTGGTACAGTAACATACACACTGGACATGGACAGTATTGTCCGTGTAGGCAGATACAGTGGTACCCACAGTGGACATGAACAGTATTGTCCGTGTAGGCTGGTACAGTAACACATACAGTGGACAAAGACAGTATTGTCCGTGTAGGCTGGTACAGTAACATACACAGTGGGCATGGACAGTATTGTCCGTGTAGGCCGGTAGAGCAGCACACACAGTAGGCATGGACAGTATTGTCCGTGTAGGTACACTTGCATATACAGTGGTCATGGATCGCAGTATCCGTGTAGGCTAGGTAAGTTGCATGCAGTAGTTGTGCTTAACATACCTGTATGTTACTCCGCATGCCCTTGCGTAGTATTTCTGTGTGCCCAGATACATGTAGCTGGAACGCTGCCTATAATATAAATTGCTGTTTTTTCTGGCCCTGATTCGAATATTGACAGTCCGCTCTCACATTGCTTAACTAGAACACAACATGCACACTCAGTAGAAGTGACATCGTGGCATTCATTTTTTCTACAAGGTGTGGGCATCGAACAGTTCCAGAGTAAAAGTGACTAAATTGGTTGGCGCGGCCAACATCTGTGCGACACAGCTGTAGTACTGCTCACTACGGTGTAAAACAACACTCGCTAACTCTATCATTGCACAATATAACAACCTTTGCTCTCCTTACAGTTGCGTCTAATATCAATTGAATTTGTTAAAGCTAAGCGCGGAGATTGTTAATATGCCTTACCTGTAATGTGCAAGTCAGCCACAAGATGGCGATGTCACGTGTACTGTGATACTCCCTTCATTACAGTCTGTTTACACAGCCGAATCAAGTATCATGTATGTGAGTATTATATATCATCTGTACGTATTCGCAGTAGCAGCCATAGGATGGGCCTCAACATTTCTTTGCTGATACCACTTCCATAATAATACGCTGAAAGCAAACGTTCGTACATCGAATAACCTTATTTACAAGAGATAATATACCACTCAAGAGAAAGTAAGACCCGATTCTTTCATACTACTATCGTTAATCTGTCATGGCAACTGTCCTTTCATGAAGTCAAACTTTCATCTGTCACCACAGATTAACTGTAGTAATATGAAAGAATCGGGTGGCAATCAACTTCCATTGTGTAGTATAACTACTTTAGTGGCTGATCTAATACTTCCTACATACAGGCCATTTGCTAAGAACGCCAAGTGCATGCCGGGACGTAATTTGTTACTTCCCTTTCAAACTGCTGTACTTGTCCTTTTCGGGGACGAAAGTATCCCGAAATTTCACTAGAATTATGCACACCCACCATATTTGCCAGGCAGAAGTATTTTATTTGTATTTAAAAAGAAAATGAATAGAAACAAGATCAGAAAGTAAATGGGGTTGTTCGTCAAATCAGTTTAAATCCAGTACACTTGCAGCACACGCTGAGTAAGAGAAGAATTGTCAGCTCAATGCTTCCGAAGATCCGGATTGGAAAAAGTCTTCAGGAACCTATGATTGTCGTAAGAGGCGACTATGCTTGTCGTAAGAGGCGACTAACGGGATCGGGTGGTTAAGATCGCTGACTTGGTTGATGCATATTATTGTATCCGAATTGCGTGGGTCGAGGCTCATGATATCAATCACTGGATTTTCTGGTTCAGACTAGATTATTTACATACCGCCGTTTTATAGTTGGAATAATGCTGAGTGCGGCGTTAAAGAATAAACAAAGCGTAGCAACTGTCTGTGCCTGTCTGCATCAACAGGGGTTTCCTCCCATATTAAACTGACACACCGTGATATGACAAAGATACTTTTGAAAGTGGCGTTAAACCAAACTCGCTCGATACACCAACTGTACTAAATATACCAGCTGCAACAGCTGTACCAGATATACAACCAATAGAAACTGTACCATACATGTCAGCTGTATAAGACCCCCACTACAAGCTGTAGCAGAGATTCAAGCTGTACCAGATATACAATCAATAGAAACTGTACCATACATGTAAGCTGTATAAGACCCCCACTACAAGCTGTATCAGAGATTCAAGCTGTACCAGATATACAATCAATAGAAACTGTACCATACATGTCAGCTGTATAAGACCCCCACTACAAGCTGTAGCAGAGATTCAAGCTGTACCAGATATACAATCAATAGAAACTGTACCATACATGTAAGCTGTATAAGACCCCCACTACAAGCTGACTTGTGTATTGTCCATAGGGTTGGTCATTAATGTGGCATTGTATATCTAGTGTATTGTCCATAGTGTCGGTCATTAATGTGACATTGTATATCTAGTGTATTGTCCATAGTGTCGGTCATTAATGTGACATTGTATATCTAGTGTATTGTCCATAGTGTTGGTCATTAATGCGGCATTGTATATCTAGTGTATTGTCCATAGTGTTAGTCATTAATGTGACATTGTATATCTAGTGTATTGTCCATAGTGTTGGTCATTAATGTGACATTGTATATCTAGTGTATTGTCCATAGTGTTGGTCATTAATGTGACATTGTATATCTAATGTATTGTCCATAGTGTCGGTCATTAATGAGACATTGTATATCTAGTGTATTGTCCACAGTATCGGTCTTTAGTGTAACATCATAATGAGAATAAAAACATTGCCAAATCCAAAAAATAAGTAATCGAACTGTAGTTTGTATTTCACCATCTCAAGCGTTTATTTCATGTTCCTATACACACAGTAATACACTATGTATTCTTTATATAGGGATGACTCAGACGGTGATTTGCGTGATCTTACACTCATGCCTTCATAGAAATACCACAACATCTGGACAAATCCCACTATTGCCCCTAGTACATGGTTGAATATGTTTTTTTCATGCATTTAGGATATGAGGCATTGGTTCAGTTGATATTTTCACATCCTGTAGCTGGATGAGGTAGACCCTTGTCTAGGGCTGTTGAAATCGTCTGTCTAGTATGTGGTGAAATTGAAGGTAATCACGGACCCATCTTTTGGTACGTACTCACTGACACCTGCAACGTAGAAACACCATGGTCAGTTTACATGTGGATCAATCGTTCTCCATGCAATATTTTCAGCGTATAAATGAGTCGTATCCATCTATCCATCCATCCATCCAACCATCCACCCATTCATCCGCACGCACACACACACACATAAATATATATATATATATATATATATATATATATATATATATATATATATATATATATATATATATATACGCGCATATGAAGACGCACACATACATACCTACTTACATGCTAGCATACTTACCGAGAGGTGTAGGTATCCCTTTGTCCAGGATCTGCCAGTAAGTCTTATCCTCGGTGCTTCCAGCTAAGTTGTTCATGCTCAGAATAAAATATCCCGTCACGCTTGGTGTCGCATAATACTCAGCCGTGAAACTGAACAACAAGAGCGGAACGTGTTTTGATTATAACACTGAAAATATCTTTTCAATGCCTTTTGTCACACAAACCATGTCGGAACAAGTAAAATTGAGATCACGAAACGCAGACACAAGCTATTTAGACTTCAGATAATATGTGAGTAACCTGGAAAGGGTTTTACGAAGGTGTGTATGACTCCCAAAATAGGTTGGTGCCTGACACGGACGATGTTGTCTGAAGAAGAATTTGTTGTCGGAGGAAAAAGGTTGTGTCTGACTGAGGAGATTGTGTTTGACAGATAAGATGTAGGCTGACTCAGGAAGAAGACGTGTTTTCATGTTGTCTCAAGAGGATGATGTGCCTTACAGAGATTGTGGTGTTTCACAAAGAGGTTGTGTCTGGGGAACAAGGTGATGTCTGACAGAGAAGGTGTTGTCTGAGGAACTAACTGATGTCTGACAGAGAAGGTGTTGTCTGGGGAACTAGGTGATGTCTGACAGAAAAGGTGTTGTCTGAGGAACTAACTGATGCCTGACAGAGAAGGTGTTGCCTGAGGAACTAGGCGATGTCTGAGAGAAAAGGTGTTGTCTGAGGAACTAGCTGATGTCTGACAGGGAAGGTGTTGTCTGGGGAACGAGCTGATGTCTGACAGGGAAGGTGTTGTCTGGGGAACTAGCTGATGTCTGATAGAGAAGGTGTTGTCTGAGGAACTAGGTGATGTCTGACAGGGAAGGTGTTGTCTGGGGAACTAGCTGATGTCTGACAGAAAATGTGTTGTCTGAGGAACTAGCTGATGTCTGACAGAGAAGGTGTTGTCCGAGGAACTAGCTGATGTCTGACAGAGAAGGTGTTGTCTGAGTAACTAGCTGATGTCTGACAGAGAAGGTGTTGTCTGAGGAACTATTTGATGTCTGACAGAGAAGGTGTTGCCTGAGGAACTAGGCGATGTCTGACAGAGAAGGTGTTGCCTGAGGAACTAAGTGATGTCTGACAGAGAAGGTGTTGTCTGAGGAACTAGATGGTGTGTGACAGAGAAAGTGTTGTCTGAGGAACGCGGTGATGTCTGACAGAGAAGGTGTTGTCTGAGGGACTCGGTGATGTCTGACAGAGAAGGTGTTGTCTGAGGAACTAACTGATGCCTGACAGAGAAGGTGTTGCCTGAGGATCTAGGCGATGTCTGACAGAAAAGGTGTTGTCTGAGGAACTAGCTGATGTCTGACAGGGAAGGTGTTGTCTGGGGAACTAACTGATGCCTGACAGAGAAGGTGTTGTCCGAGGAACTAGCTGATGTCTGACAGAGAAGGTGTTGTCTGAGGAACTAGGTGATGTCTGACAGAAAAGGTGTTGTCTGAGGAACTAGCTGATGTCTGACAGAGAAGGTGTTGTCTGAGGAACTAGGTGATGTCTGACAGAAAAGGTGTTGTCTGAGTAACTAGCTGATGTCTGACAGAGAAGGTGTTGTCTGAGGAACTATTTGATGTCTGACAGAGAAGGTGTTGCCTGAGGAACAAGGCGATGTCTGACAGAGAAGGTGTTGCCTGAGGAACTAAGTGATGTCTGACAGAAAAGGTGTTGTCTGAGGAACTAGCTGATGTCTGACAGAGAAGGTGTTGCCTGAGGAACTAGCTGATGTCTGACAGAGAAGGTGTTGTCTGAGGAACTCGGTGATGTGTGACAGAGAAGGTGTTGTCCGAGGAACTAGATGGTGTGTGACAGAGAAGGTGTTGTCTGAGGAACTAAGTGATGTCTGACAGAGAAGGTGTTGCCTGAGGAACTAGATGGTGTGTGACAGAGAAGGTGTTGTCTGAGGAACTCGGTGATGTGTGACAGAGAAGGTGTTGTCTGAGGAACTAGCTGATGTTTGACAGAGAAGGTGTTGCCTGAGGAACTCGGTGATGTGTGACAGAGAAGGTGTTGTCTGAGGAACTAGGCGATGTCTGACAGAGAAGGTGTTGCCTGAGGAACTCGGTGATGTGTGACAGAGAAGGTGTTGTCCGAGGAACTAGATGGTGTGTGACAGAGAAAGTGTTGTCTGAGGAACTCGGTGATGTGTGACAGAGAAGGTGTTGTCTGAGGAACTAGCTGATGTCTGACAGAGAAGGTGTTGCCTGAGGAACTAGATGGTGTGTGACAGAGAAGGTGTTGTCTGAGGAACTAGCTGATGTCTGACAGAGAACGTGTTGTCTGAGGAACTAGATGATGTGTGACAGTAGACGTTGTCTGACAGAAGGTTGTGTTGTGTGAGAGAAATTGCGTTGCTTAACAGAAGAAAGTGTTAAGTGACAGGAACGTGTTGTTTGGCAGACGCAGTTGTTGTGTGACAGTGAATATGTTTTCTTATAGAAGTAATTGTGTGACAGACGAACGTGTTGTCTCACAGAAGAAGGTCTTGTGTGACTTAAGAAAATGTCGTTTGACTGCAGACAGTGTTGTGTGATAGATGAAGTTGTTGTCCGATAGAAACGAAAGTGTTTGGCTGACAAGGTATTGTATTACAGAAGGTGTTATAAGACAGAGGAGGTGTTATGTATCGAACGAAGGTGCTGCTTGACAGGGAACGATGGTGAACGAAGGCAAGGTTTGACAGATGGTGTTGTCTGACACTAAACTAGGAAATTAGGATTGAGGAGGGTACTTAAGGAAGCAGTCATCTTACTGGAAGAGCTGGTCGATGGCGACGGCCTCCTGAAGGAAGTAGATGAGTTCTCTCTGATGCATCTCAAGCTTGACACAGGACTTGAACGTGGGTGGCTTGATGCTGTTCACCACTTCCATAGTAACAGTGATATTAGGACCGCACATGCAACAAGGACTGTTAACACCCCTGAAAGATAACGACTAATTAATGGAATCATGTATCACGCCTGTATTCAGTGGTGAAATACAAACATCATGTAACATATCTAGAAAGTAAACCCTGTACTTTCTCGAATTTGACTACTTTATATCTTTGCTTTGAAGCGTATCTTGCTTTGCCCTTTTCAGGTTATTATTATTATTTGAGAAAATAATAAAAATCTAACTTCGAACATTATCAACTATAATAATCTAAATGTACTATTTGACAGCAAATGATCAATGGTTATTCATTAAGTATGTGCATCTTTGTACTCTTTATAATGTACATGACTATGTTCAAATGAAAATGATTGATCGAATTAAACAACGTGATTTCATGTGCCCGATGGTATGGGTTCAAATGGTGTACAGGCAAATCGCTAGGTCTGGGATCCTCGATGAGACACAACAGGTTTTCAATCATTGCTACAGTACATTCTTTTCAGGACATTAACACTTCTTTTGCTTAATCTGAGACAAACATACACCCACCCCCTCCCGCATACCAAATTGTCTGTCTCTTCAATGTCGACTTAATGGAAGAGAGTGTACTTACGGCTGGCAAGTCAGTGCCAGGACCACGCAGGCTAGCAGGCACACACACGATAGTGTACTCATTGTTCTTGTTTGTAACCTAGGAGGAACAAAATAAGATCGTCTTATTATAAAAATAAAATATAATGGTAAAGCTTCCTAAACATATATGCCAAGGGACTCACGGGAATAATCTCTAGGCACCAAGGCATGCACGAGCGGTGGCTTAAAAGTTCTGAGGTAACTGCGAAGGGTGAATAATGTACTACTACACATAACTACTAATACTCACTACACGTCCCTACTAATACTCACTACACGTCACTACTTATACTCACTACACGTCACTACTAATACTCACTACACGTCACTACTAATACTCACTACTAGTCACTACTAATACTCACTACACGTCACTACTAATACTCACTACACGTCACTACTAATACTCACTACTAGTCACTACTAATACTCACTACACGTCACTACTAATACTCACTACTAGTCACTACTAATACTCACTACACGTCACTACTAAAACTCACTACTAGTCACTACTAATACTTACTACACGTCACTACTAATACTCACTACTAGTCACTACTAATACTCACTACACGTCACTACTAATACTCACTACTAGTCACTACTAATACTCACTACATGTCACTACTAATACTCACTACACGTCACTACTAATACTCACTACACGTCACTACTAATACTCACTACACGTCACTACTAATACTTACTACACGTCACTACTCATACTCACTACACGTCACTACTCATACTCACTACACGTCACTACTAATACTCACTACTAGTCACTACTAATACTCACTACACGTCACTACTAATACTCACTACACTTCACTACTAATACTCACTACACGTCACTACTAATACTCACTACACGTCACTACTAATACTCACTACTAGTCACTACTAATACTCACTACACGTCACTACTAATACTCACTACACGTCACTACTAATACTCACTACTAGTCACTACTAATACTCACTACTAGTCACTACTAATACTGAATACACGTCACTACTCATACTCACTACACGTCACTACTAATACTCACTACACGTCACTACTAATGCTCACTACACGTCACTAATAATACTCACTACACTTCACTACTAATACTCACTACACGTCACTACTAATACTCACTACTAGTCACTACTAATACTCACTACACGTCACTACTAATACTTACTACAAGTCACTACTCATACTCACTACACGTCACTACTAATACTCACTACACGTCACTACTAATACTCACTACGAGTCACTACTAATACTCACTACACGTCACTACTAATACTTACTACACGTCACTACTCATACTCACTACACGTCACTACTCATACTCACTGCACGTCACTACTAATACTCACTACTAGTCACTACTAATACTCACTACACGTCACTACTAATACTCACTACTGGGGTGGGTGGGGGTGGGGGTGGGGGGGTGTGGAGGGTTGTTTTCGAAAAGTAACGTCATTCATAATTACCTCCTATTGGCAACGCTAAAACAGCACCAGAACATAATAATCGGACATCGTTAGATTTGGTGTCCAGACAGACATTCATATACATGTGCACAAAATAATATGGAGGTACTCTCATTTGAAATAAAGGATATGTGCTGTGTTTTTCTGCTGCGGCTGTATTTATATGACATCTTTTCAAATTTATATAAAATATTCATGTTACTCAGAATGTCCAGTGAACATTTATTTTTTTGATAAAACCCGAGGAATAATCATACTTTCAGTTTTTATCTGGATCAAATTTTTGAAAGAAAATCTTTTGTAATATTACTGACTGTGGTGTAAAACAAAGCTCTCCTGCTATTCTACATTACAATACATTCCTGCATGTTTGTATGTACACTGAATTCATTAATGGTATACTGTATAGTACAGAGATAATGTAAATACGCCTTACCTGATGTCGAAGTAAACAGCACGCAGCTTCAGGATGCTCGTGACTGTCACTTATATAGTGGCTATGTCACGCCTACTGTGACTGTGACACTCCGTAACCTGTTGTACATCCTGTTCACGCAGCTGACTCACGTACCATGCACATATCAAAGAATGGTTATATTACATATATTTAACCATATTATTTGTACCTTATTCAGAGGTGATAGTTCGTATAATGGTATTGACTTTAGTGTCAAGCAACTAGGACGTACTGTTTTATTCAATTGTATAAGTGACGGGTGCTACCGATAGCACGATACCGACACCTGGTCTCGTCACTAATTTTCATTGATGTATTTATATCATTTTCACCGCTATTTTGCCTTTTACGCTCAGTGGAATCTATTTCGGCGGATAATCGAGACTTGTTTATAATCGACTCTGGCGTTGACGTTTTACATTTACAGTTCATTTGTCAACGGTTTCTGTTCTAATGAGCATGGAGGTCAAATGTCTCATTCTGCGTTACACTACAGCTGTTTAAATAAAGTGAGTTTGAAACTAAAATACAGAATAATTAAAAAAGAAAGTCTATATTTGTCTATTTTCAGACGACGTCGTGTTTACCACCAGTGCAAAAAATATTTATACAGGTGGGATTTTCACTCAAGATCTAGATCGTGTTGATGGGTAGTAATAGTGTTATGGGTTGACTGATATAGTCACTATAATGGAAGTGCATATACTGGAAAGTGTACTGTAATACATCGGTAGGTCATGAGTCAACCAGCGTGACCAGGATGTTTGCATTCTGTGATACAGTTTGTTGTTCGGCTGGGAATACTTATGCAGCTTTCTCCGAGAATACCTATTTCGGCGTAACCGGACCAGGAAAGTACGGGTTGGGAAAATAAACAAGTAACTGCTGCTTCGCAAGGAAGGAGAGCTGAGCCCCGTGGCGAATTTTAAAGTGATTCATGTTAAGTGTTGAAATACATTAAACTGACGCAACGGGGAAGGGGGCAGGGGGATTTTGAGGGGGTCCCATCCGTCTAAGGTGCTGCAATCCGCTGTTGTGAGTTGCGTCCCTTTGACGTGCAAGGAATCTATGATCGTGGCACCGAAACCCAAATTCGTCCTGATCATGTTGAAAAAATGTTCATAAAGTTACAATGATAAAACGGCGTTAAATCAAACTCACACACTCACATACTCACTGCAACATAAATATGCAATACCGCTAAATAATACGTATTTCTCAAATATTTCAATAATTCATGTGCAATTGAAAATAGTTAATAGTGTAATTTTCCCATCACTCTCAAACACAGCTGAATAGTGCCTGGTTGCTTTTTTATGTGAATCAATTGTATAACAAATAACATACATTATTATTTCCTCTCAACTTCTGTCGCGTCAGGAATACATGGAAGGAATACTTTTTATGAGTAATGATTTCTAATGTTTGACATGAAAAGACACGGAAGCATTACATTTCCACATGTACCACATGTGTCAGCTGGGCGCGATAGACTACGAGATGTATCAGCCGTACCAGATAGACCAGGATAAGGCGCTCCACCAGACAAACCACTATAAACAACTGCACAAGATGGACCACAAATGTACCAGATATATCATCTGTACCAGATAGGTGGTGAGGTGAAATGGGGTTTAATGTCGCGTCCAAGATTATTGCACTTATATAGCGACGTGCATGCACGTGTATGTGTGTGTGTGGCTCCTTGTACTAGTCCGGACTGATGCCGATTTATAGTGCTAGCACACTGAGATACCATGCCGCAGTTTAACATGAATACCCTACTCAGACACAGTATACTGACTCCGAGCCGATCAGTCCCTGTTTTAGCCCCTTAATGCCGAGCGCCAGACAGGGTAACAACAAGTACCATATTTTAACGTCTTTTGGAATGACGCGGCTTGGGATCGAACCCCGGACCTTCCGCTCTCCGGGCGGACGCTCTAACATTAAACCACGGAGGCGGTCTTGTACCAGATAGACTACCCATATCAAAAGTAGATTTATTAACTAAGCCAACTGTATGAACTGTTCCAAGTGCATCCATCAACTGTATCAGCTGTTAAGGCCTCAAATCGCCATTGTATCGCTCTTATACAGGTACAGCCAGCCTTCGGGAAACTTAAACGATCAAGTCTGCCATGTTTTAACAACCATGGAAGGTAACTACCGACAGCGCTCGACATTTTACCAGCTCTTCAATCGTGTGCTTCCACTTCCACTGACACTCACTGCAAATAAACTTACAGCAATTTTCTACTGCCACGTAGAGCAGTGTATCAGTGTTTAGATGTCCAGTGTATTGTTCATAATATCGGTCAATTGTGAGACATTGTACACCCAGTGTATTGTTCACAATATCGGTCATGTGTGTGACATTGTACACCCAGTGTATTGTTCTCAATATCGGTCATGTGTGTGACATTGTACACCCAGTGTATTGTTCCCAATATCGGTCATGTGTGTGACATTGTACACCCAGTGTATTGTTCACAATATCGGTCAATTGTGTGACATTGTACACCCAGTGTATTGTTCCCAATATCGGTCAATTGTGTGACATTGTACACCCAGTGTATTGTTCACAATATCGGTCATGTGTGTGACATTGTACACCCAGTGTATTGTTCACAATATCGGTCATGTGTGTGACATTGTACACCCAGTGTATTGTTCACAATATCGGTCAATTGTGTGACATTGTACACCCAGTGTATTGTTCACAATATCGGTCATGTGTGTGACATTGTACACCCAGTGTATTGTTCACAATATCGGTCAAGTGTGTGACGTTGTACACCCAGTGTATTGTTCACAATATCGGTCATGTGTGTGACATTGTACACCCAGTGTATTGTTCACAATATCGGTCAATTGTGTGACATTGTACACCCAGTGTATTGTTCACAATATCGGTCAATTGTGTGACATTGTACACCCAGTGTATTGTTCACAATATCGGTCAAGTGTGTGACATTGTACACCCAGTGTATTGTTCACAATATCGGTCATGTGTGTGACATTGTACACCCAGTGTATTGTTCACAATATCGGTCATGTGTGTGACATTGTACACCCAGTGTATTGTTCACAATATCGGTCATGTGTGTGACATTGTACACCCAGTGTATTGTTCACAATATCGGTCAAGTGTGTGACGTTGTACACCCAGTGTATTGTTCACAATATCGGTCATGTGTGTGACATTGTACACCCAGTGTATTGTTCACAATATCGGTCAATTGTGTGACATTGTACACCCAGTGTATTGTTCCCAATATCGGTCAATTGTGTGACATTGTACACCCAGTGTATTGTTCACAATATCGGTCAAGTGTGTGACATTGTACACCCAGTGTATTGTTCACAATATCGGTCATGTGTGTGACATTGTACACCCAGTGTATTGTTCACAATATCGGTCATGTGTGTGACATTGTACACCCAGTGTATTGTTCACAATATCGGTCATGTGTGTGACATTGTACACCCAGTGTATTGTTCCCAATATCGGTCAAGTGTGTGACATTGTACACCCAGTGTATTGTTCCCAATATCGGTCATGTGTGTGACATTGTACACCCAGTGTATTGTTCACAATATCGGTCATGTGTGTGACATTGTACACCCAGTGTATTGTTCACAATATCGATAAATTGTGTGACGTTGTTTTCCCAGTGTAGCTTTCACAGTATCGGCCAGTAGTGGTACATATATATGTTCCAATTATTGATATTTACCTAACATCTTCATTATGGTAAGAGCATTGCCAAATCCATGATCCAAGTAATTGAATTGCATTCTGTGTAATTGCTTTGAATACAGACAGGCAGATTTATTTCGTATATGAGGCCAATAGTATAACGACATTTTGTTGCAGGACAATTCGTCGTGGAGCACCACTCGTATATTGTATCTGAATAGATGTACACATTTGAGTTTTATTAATATTCAATGTATCATCCTTCGTTCAAATATCTTATAAACAAAAACTGCAAGTCTGAGGAGAATATGGCCATTTTTGCTGTTTATTAACTGTACAAATTTTCCTGAGGCCAAGTTTTTATCCCCAAAGTCATCAAGGCGCTTAAGCATGTAATAGCATCGTGTATCTGATGTCTAAGCGGACGTATCCAGTATGAGATAACTCTACATTGATAGTTTACATATATCGGGTGTACAAAAAAATGCGTTATTTGGTGACCGGTACAAAATTGTGTATGAATTTTCTCAATACTATGGTGATATAAGGTTCCCCAGAGTTCCTAGCTGTATTTTAACATCCGCGGCTGTATTTTACCATCAAATACCCTAAATAGCGATTCAACATGTATATTCCTAAATATACTAATACACTGTATAGCTGAATACTTTGATTTATCTGCATGCCTTGAAAGTACTTCACATACTTTTGTAAATAAATTTTGCCATGAAATTGTTAAGCCAAGATATTTGTAGTATGATCCTACTTCTAGTCTTTCTGGACCGAAGAACCATTTATCTTGTTTAGATATCTTTCCTCCTTCCTTCAAACGACAACTTTAGTTTCTTGGTATATACAGATACACCCCACTTAGCACAATATTGCAACATCATCCGCAAATAGTAAAATCGATAATGCCTGTACAACTTCGTCTACAAAAATACCACCACAATCAGTGTTCACGATATCATTCACAAGCTCATCAATGTACAAAAGGCGTGGTGATAATATACATCCCTGTCATACACCCGCACTTGTATTTAATACATCAGTCATAGTATTTTTACTTCATCTTACAGCTGCTTTTACGTTTCCACATATACTTCTTAGTAGTGTACTCATCTTACCATGTATACCTTTACATATACAGAGCAACGTATGAAGACGTGTATTTCGATCCACGGTGTCAATTGCGTTTTTGAAGTCAACAAGTAACAATTTCCACGCTTCATGCTAATATATCCATGTGTCAGTGAATATAAAGAAATGTGATCAATCGTAGAGTAACCTCCCTAAACCCTGCTTGGCATTCGGACAGTATCTGTTGGGTGGAGACCCAAAAGTTTATTCGCCTCTGTAGTTTTTTGCGTCACCCCTCGAGACGGATTTATGTACTGGGACAATAAGACCAAGATTCCATTATTCCGGAAATTGACCTGTCTCAAGAATATGGTTAAAAATACGCATATAAAAGGGTATTAACAGAGAACAGGTTTCATTCGCAGCTTCTGTTGGGATCCCGTCATGTCCGTCTGATTTTCCAGTTTTCAAATGCTGTATAGCATATATTATTTCACGGTCTGATATTTCCCCACTGACCAGTTAATCGCAGTTTCTACAGTGATCCCAGTCTAGAGTAGAATGGTTTTCTAGAAAGACTGCGATATCTTTGTCAAATGAGTTATTTGATTGTACTTGGGGATTTAAAAGATTTCTGAAGTAGGCATACCAATCATCAGCAGTGATGGATTAGGATCCTTTGAAAACATTACCTCTATTTCGTCATAAATCCTACATTACGGATGTACTCTCACTATAAAATTTAAGATTTTCAACAAACGCTTCTCTCTACTGCCAGCTTTACAATGGCCTTGAGGGAGATTTTCCAGTCACAGTATCTGCGCATGCGTAGGGCGGAAAAACGTCACTTCCTTCCTGTGTGTGCTAAAGTAAACAAGGAAAACATTTTCCATTCTATTTAGTTCACAATCGGTTTGATCTTCACAAGGTTTTTTTCACAGTTAATTCGTTATAAATACTAGTTGTAAATATACCTACTCCTCGAGGGTTTTCACGTAAATAGATTGTTTCGTGAATGTGTTGGGAAACTCGCAGGATAGGGGGCTAGTTGTCAGAGTAACGCACCTAATTCTTCCTGTCCACTTCAACATGGAGCAGTTTATGCTTACACCTAAAATATAATGCAATCCGTTAATAACATTTTACACCAACAACTGTCTACGATCAAAATCGGTATTGCAGAAATATCCCAGGAAGACTAATTGACGATGAAGTTGTTCATGCTCTTCAGCTAAAATAGTACATGATCTCCAAGCGGTAGTGGATATTTGCCCAGCGGTTTCCTTCTTGGAAACAGGCTACCAGGAAGCGCTAGTCCGCTACTTCTGCTAACAACCCTTTGGCGAGATCTCTGATGAGAACTAGACCTGGAAGAAATCCTGTTATCAAGCACGTGGCTCGTGCAGATCGAGCACCAAGCCGTCTGCTAAAGACAAGTAACGCCCGCGTGACTGACACACGCTATTCTCATTCCCTTTGACGAAGTTTTTGTTTTACGAATTACCTGATGCAGAGTCGCATACGCCCAAAGGAACCAACACTCCACCAACACCCCACCAACACCCCGCTTTGCGTCTGAAAGGTCTGTAAATATCGAGTCTGGGCCGATCTGCACAATTGCTATATAATGACATGCCTCAGCGAGCTTCACCTGCACCGTTATGACGATCATCAAGATACAACACTTCCAACTGACACATGTTTTCTCAACTGAGTCACAGTCACTAGAGGCATACAGATTCTAGGGTATCAAATTTGTTTATAAACAGGTGGGGGTCTAGCGTGTGATTCAGGCTAAAGGAGCCGTTATGAGTTATCTTGCGATTGTTCACAAGAACTACAGGGGCGTTCATCAGATGTGTTCATGTCCAAATAGTAAATGACTCATAGTTTCAAGAATAGTAGAAAAATCACGCTTTCTGGGTAAGGCCAATCAGGAATCTAGTCGATCGTGAAATCAGCTTACGTCTGACAAGTTTTTTCTCTGATTCTACAATTATTTCATCTAATTTCCGGGTGCATAAGACCACGTCCAGTCGCTCGTGACACGAATCAGATAACACCAATCATGTTTTTTTCTGCTTCAACTACTGTTTTGTCATGTTGCCTGGTGGCTACGACTAAATCAGAACACATACCAGTAATGGTGTTTACTCACTCACTACTAGGATATCTGACGCCCCTACAAGTAATATTTTGAGTTAGGTACCACCTCCGTGTCGAGACCATACTTTGAGGTGAACGTCGGGGGTCTGGAGTAGAGACGCTAGTCAACATCAGCTTACATTTGGATCATCCAGTCTCCTTTAGTTCGTCTCTCACTCTGATCATGAGGATTTACATTCTATCCGAGGTGGTATAAAGCGATTCAGCTGGAAGGTTAACACCTCAGTCATGCTGTTTGTACGTGCGTCTGGCAGCAGAGGTGGTGAATTACGATCTTAACATGATTACGGTGGTCGTATTATAGTTATTCCCAAGTCCGACTGCTTTTTACGACATGATATTCTCAGTTAAATCTTGTGCAGGGACAAGCAACAGGCACCCTTCAGCTACTATTACACAAGGTATCTGTTTTACGGAGAGTGTGCCGTAACCCATCACGCAGCACGTGACAAGACCCATCCCGACGTGACCATGGTCACATAAGTCTTTTGCAACTCAGGCGTAGCCGCAGTGAATCTCATTAAGATAGAGAAAGCAAACGAACTATCACCCCATATGATAGAACGGTATGAGATCCACAATCTCTATAGGTAGACGCACTGTCCATGAGTTGGAAGGGCTTCTTTACCCACGTGTTCCCTATTTGCTCTCTCTACTCAAAACGGTAGAAGTCATCACATTAGTACCTCCGGCGTGGCCAAACAGAGAATGATACGGTAACCCAAATTTTTCTCATATTTTTGGGGGAAACTTCTCCAAACGACACGATCACACATACCTTTAGACATGTCATATGGAAACCTCCAGTGCCTCTACCTACACACCTGGTCCAAATCGAGATCCGGTTCGTAAATAACATGGATTTCAACGTGCAGATTTCAGTCGACTGAATGATTTGCAAAGCATGTGTACCGCCAACTCGGTGTCGACATATACTTTGAAAATCATTTCATATTTTTAATCAAGGTGCTCAAGTGATTTGATGGATAAGACCTGTATTATCACAATATAGATCTTGGTTGTCGATCAAATCTTCTTGACTGGGTGCCGCCATTTTGTTTGAAGCAAATGCAATTGATATGAGAGGTGGAATCTGATGGGTCAATAGGAGGGACATAGAAAGGACATGACTCGTCATAGACACTGGTGGCGCTACGATCCAGACTGAAAATTCCTGCCTAGTTCGGCAAGGTTGGAAACTGGACTTTTATAGTCAGTAAACGCCCTTGCCTCGGGGAGATGGGGTCACATGTACTCACCAAGTGCGTAATTGTCTTCTGAAATCTTTTTAATCCAGAAGTCCATTTTCTCTATATGTTTTCTATCATCACTGTTAGAGCCACCTTATGAGCCTATGTATTCGCTACTCTTTTGCAAGCTTCCAAGCCATGGCCACGGCAGCCAGAGTGTCGGAGTAACATACAATGTCTCTTCACTCACTCACGACTATAGTTTGAATACGATTACTCTGAGACAACTCTGAGATTAAATCGTTGAGAACCTGCCCACAATAGCTAGACTACTCGCACATAGACAACACTCAATCCTCACATTTAACTAAGCCGCTGACGGACCAGACAGTTACTGCACCCGTTAAAAGCGTTTAAAGTCTACCTTACAGCCAGGATTTAACTATCAAGATCAGCTTCCTGGAACTCCATAGAACACATCGTATCAAACTGTCAATGGGTTCGCATAGCATGTTCACAAACTTTCTATTTATGTGATATCCAACCACACATGGGAGGCCTATATTAACTGGGACAACTGGACCACCGATGACAGCCCATGCTATAGTGCTATAGGGGCGAGGATTCCAGTTGACTACAAATTAGACCTTTGATCATATGTCGACCAAGATGAGCAGGTTCTTGGTCAACGGTTGGACTCACATTATAAGATCTGTTAGTGATCGACGGGTCTTCGGTATTGACGCCAATTTGAATGTTATCAAAGCTGATTGTGTCATCAGAGAACCTGAAATGACGTTATAACAGGAAATGACGTTAAACCGGAAGTGACGAAATCCCTCCCACTTCTCCAACATATAGGCATCTAGGATGTTTTGTTATTGAAAGGAAGTGACGTTTTCCGCCATTCGCATGCGCAGATGCTGTGGACTGTAGAAAATCTCCCTCAAGACCATGAGAAACCTAACTGTGAAGAGGAGAGTCTGTGGCAAATCTTAAAGTTTCATGGTGTAAGATCAGCCAAAAGGCAGGATTTATGGCCTGAGGTAATAGAGGTAGTTTTCTTAGAATTATCCACAATGATAACTATTGTTGGACTTCACCACCTCAAGCATTTATTACATGTTCATATACAGACAGCACTAACATATTTATTCTTTTCCTATGAGATGACGTTCAGAGGGTAAACAATCCCACAACATAACTTCTGACAATCATTTACGTATGCCTTAATAGAGATACGGTATTTTCACGTCTTGTTATTTATTAACTCGACCCTTGTCTACGGTGTGATGAAATTGTCTGTCTAGTACGTGGTGAAATTGAAGGTAATTACGGACCCATCTGTTGGTACGTACATACTGACACCTGCAATATAAAAACACCATGGTCAGTTTACATGTGGATCAATCCTTCTCCATGCAATATGTGTGGCATATGCATGCATACATGCATGCATGTGTTCATACAAAACGCACGTGCACACACACACACACACGCACACAAACATTCCTACTTACATGCTAGCATGCTCACCTGAAGGTGTAGGTATCCCTTTGTCCAGGATCTGCCAGTAAGTCTTGTCCTCGGTGGTTCCGGCTAATTTATTCATGCTCATAATAAAAAACCCAATCACCGCATCTGACGTAAAATACTCAGCTGTGAAACTGAACAACAACAGAGATTACATTATGGAACCTTTTCATTTCACCTTCATCAATCTATTTTGTTTTGATTATCACATAGACATTATCTTTTCAATGCGTTTTGGCATACAAACCATGTAGGAAGAAGTACAAACTGGCACATAACTTCAGACTTCAGATAACATGTGAGTAACTTAGAAAGTGAATCACAAAGGAGTCTCAATGAAGAGGTATACCAGCACTGATAAGGCTGAATCTCACATATTGAATCTGGCGCAGAAGTTGTTGTTTGGCGGAGAAGGTGTTATTCTAGGGATGGGTGTTGTTTGACAGAGAATATGTTGTTTAAGTAACAGATGATGTCTGAAAGAGGTGTATGACAGGACGCTGTTGTCTGAGGAAGAAGGTGGTGTCTTGCAGAGAAGGTTGTGTTTGACAGATAAGGTGTTGTCTGAGGACGGAGGTGGTGTCTGAGAGAGAAGGTGGTGTCCGAATAGGAAGGTGGTGCCTTACAGAGATAGTGGTGTATCAAATAAATATAACTTGTCAATGCAAGAGAATAGCCAGTCTCGATTGTCCGCCGAAACAGAGCTGTGAAAACTATATGAATGGACCATTGACAATCTGTGAAGACACCAGGTGTTCGCGAAAAGGGTTAGCATGTCCTGCCCTACCGGTAGTACCCGCCATTCACACAATTTGCATAAAAAGTTCATTGTCGGATGCTGCGCAGCAGTACTCCGGCCATACGACTGAGGTTTGTAAACAATAGTGACACAATAGTGCATTTACTGATTTCGTAGAAACTAATCAAAACGATCTAATAAATTTGGAATTACGTCTGCCGTGTACAAGTGCAGAAAATCAGATGCTTTGAAGTTGTAATATAACAGAAATGTATTCGTTTTGCAACACAGTGTCTCGGCCTAAACAGTCAGTTTATAGTTGGCTCAACAATGATAAAAGCTACTGGGCTTATGATGAAACTCTTCAGTCCACCAGGAGAAACATCGACCCAATTCAAATAAATATAAATTGTCAATGCAAAAGAATAACCAGTCCAGAGTATCCGCCGAAACAAAGTAAAATTTGGCGTAAAGGGCAAAATAGCTGTAAACAGTCTATGAATGGACCATTGACAATGAATGTGTTGTCCGATGAACAAGGTGACGTCTGACAGAGAATGTGTTGTCAGACTGGGAACGTGTACCCTGACTGACGAAAAAGAAGCTGGCAAGACAGAGAAGATTGGCGATTGACATAGAAAGGTTAGTGGGCAACTGAGAAAGTGTTTTGTGACTGACAAGGCAGTAGCTCAGAAGGAAGATTGTATATGAAGGAGGATAAGTAACTGTGAGTCACATAACTTTTAATAAAAACAAATTTAATCTAATGTCCACGAAGACATCTCCTTGATTAAACGATCGTGAGGCACGTCGCACAATTTGGATGTGTGCATGTTTGTTGGGAGCATGAAACTTACACACGCTTTTTTACCAGCACACAACGCTAATTTAGCTATGAGTTTCACTTATAACATTTTCGTTTAACCGTAAATAACGCTTACGCAATACCACGGCTTGCTGAAAATCAACGTCTACGCGCCGTGGGTATGCAGCAAACAAGAATGGCGTAAAAAGAATTTGCCAGGCATTTTAATGTTCATCGAAACACAAAAGTATCTCTTTGGAGATGTTGTCTACAGCAGGGCAACACTCATGACTTGCCACCTTGCCTCAGCATCTGAGGTTCTGAAGACAAGATTTGGCCTGGGGTAGATGGTTGTTCACAGATGAGTCCAGATTTCATTTGAACAGTTATGGTGGTCGTTGAAGGATCTTCAGGCTTCCAGGAGTACGTTTTATCGACGCGTACATTACTCAACGTCGTCAGTCTGGGAGTGGAAGTGTAATGGTATGGGGTGGCATCACCACTCATGGGAGAACACAACTCATCATTGTATATGGCAAATTGAATACCGGTACACTACCGGAGCGACATCGAGATCATGTTCTACCCTCTGAGCAAGTGCATGGACGTAACGTCACGTGTTTTAGCATGATAATGCCCGCCCATATGTTGCACGTGTGATAACAGACTTTTTGGGGCATCATTACATTACATGGCCGGCTGTTTCGGAAGAACTCTTCCCCACATGTCTGGGATATGAGATAGAAATACGCCAACGACAGCACCAGAACCAGCGGTAACGGTAACACAGTTGGGCCAATCTTTGGTTGACATTTGGCTGTTGTCAGTCATGTGGTGTCTCCAATGCGCCGTCGCTGCCTCGCCTGTAGCAACGCAAATGGTGGTCACACATGAAATTGACAATGTTAATTGTGTTGTTACACCTACCCTATTTTAGGGCGTGCCTCCCTGTCTAATGTTATCAGGTATGAATTTTGTCAATGAATTTGTTATCATGAAACATGGATCGGAAGAAAGACCAAATATTATGTTGTTCTTTATTTACGTCACCATTCTATGTGGAAAACAGTTACTTTTTCCCCGTTAGAATATTTTACAGGGGAGTGTATGTCTTACTGAAGAGGTTGTAGCTGACAGAAACGTTTGTTTGACAGAAGTGGTATATGACATAAAATCAGCGTCCTACAGAAAGGATGTTTTGACAGAGTGGTGTCTGACAGAGAAGTATTTTTGACAGAAGAAGGCATGTGTGACAGAAGAAGGTGGAGTCTGACAGAAACGTGTTACCTATGGTGTTGTGTGACAGAAGAAGGTGGAGTCTGACAGAAACGTGTTACCTATGGTGTCGTGTGACAGAAGAAGGGGGAGTCTGACAGAAACGAGTTACCTTTGGTGTTGTGTGACAGAAGAAGGTGGAGTCTGACAGAAACGTGTTACCTATGGTGTTGTGTGACAGAAGAAGGTGGAGTCTGACAGAAACGTGTTACCTTTGGTGTTGTGTGACAGAAGAAGGTGGAGTCTGACAGAAACGTGTTACCTTTGGTGTTGTGTGACATTAAAAAGGTGGAGTCTGACTGAAACGTGTTACCTTTGGTGCTGTGTGACAGAAGAAGGTGGAGTCTGACAGGAACGTGTTACCCAAGGTGTTGTGTGATAGATGAAGGTGTTGTGTGATAGGAGAAGGTGTTGTCTGACTAAAACCTCTTACCTATGGTGTTGAGTGACAGAAGAAGGTGGAGTCTGACAGAAACGTGTTACCTTTGGTGTTGTGTGACATTAAAAAGGTGGAGTCTGACTGAAACGTGTTACCTTTGGTGCTGTGTGACAGAAGAAGGTGGAGTCTGACAGGAACGTGTTACCCAAGGTGTTGTGTGATAGATGAAGGTGTTGTGTGATAGGAGAAGGTGTTGTCTGACTAAAACCTCTTACCTATGGTGTTGAGTGACAGAAGAAGGTGGAGTCTGACAGAAACGTGTTACCTTTGGTGTTGTGTGACAGAAAAAGGTGGAGTCTGACTGAAACGCGTTACCTTTGGTGCTGTGTGACAGAAGAAGGTGGAGTCTGACAGGAACGTGTTACCCAAGGTGTTGTGTGATAGATGAAGGTGTTGTGTGATAGGATAAGGGGTTGTCTGACTAAAACCTGTTACCTATGGTGTTGTGTGACAGATGAAGGTGGAGTCTGACAGAAACGTGTTACCTATGGTGTTGTGTGACAGAAGAAGGTGGAGTCTGACAGGAACGTGTTACCCAAGGTGTTGTGTGATAGATGAAGGTGTTGTGTGATAGGAGAAGGTGTTGTCTGACTAAAACATGTTACCTATGGTGTTGTGTGACAGAAGAAAATGGAGTCTGACAGAAACGTGTTACCTATGGTGTTGTGTGACAGATGAAGGTGGAGTCTGACAGAAACGTGTTACCTAGGGTGTTGTGTGATAGATGAAGGTGGAGTCTGACAGAAACGTGTTACCTTTGGTGTTGTGTGACAGAAGAAGGTGGAGTCTGACAGAAACGTGTTACCTATGGTGTCGTGTGACAGAAGAAGGGGGAGTCTGACAGAAACGAGTTACCTTTGGTGTTGTGTGACAGAAGAAGGTGGAGTCTGACAGAAACGTGTTACCTATGGTGTTGTGTGACAGAAGAAGGTGGAGTCTGACAGAAACGTGTTACCTTTGGTGTTGTGTGACAGAAGAAGGTGGAGTCTGACAGAAACGTGTTACCTTTGGTGTTGTGTGACATTAAAAAGGTGGAGTCTGACTGAAACGTGTTACCTTTGGTGCTGTGTGACAGAAGAAGGTGGAGTCTGACAGGAACGTGTTACCCAAGGTGTTGTGTGATAGATGAAGGTGTTGTGTGATAGGAGAAGGTGTTGTCTGACTAAAACCTCTTACCTATGGTGTTGAGTGACAGAAGAAGGTGGAGTCTGACAGAAACGTGTTACCTTTGGTGTTGTGTGACATTAAAAAGGTGGAGTCTGACTGAAACGTGTTACCTTTGGTGCTGTGTGACAGAAGAAGGTGGAGTCTGACAGGAACGTGTTACCCAAGGTGTTGTGTGATAGATGAAGGTGTTGTGTGATAGGAGAAGGTGTTGTCTGACTAAAACCTCTTACCTATGGTGTTGAGTGACAGAAGAAGGTGGAGTCTGACAGAAACGTGTTACCTTTGGTGTTGTGTGACAGAAAAAGGTGGAGTCTGACTGAAACGCGTTACCTTTGGTGCTGTGTGACAGAAGAAGGTGGAGTCTGACAGGAACGTGTTACCCAAGGTGTTGTGTGATAGATGAAGGTGTTGTGTGATAGGATAAGGGGTTGTCTGACTAAAACCTGTTACCTATGGTGTTGTGTGACAGATGAAGGTGGAGTCTGACAGAAACGTGTTACCTATGGTGTTGTGTGACAGAAGAAGGTGGAGTCTGACAGGAACGTGTTACCCAAGGTGTTGTGTGATAGATGAAGGTGTTGTGTGATAGGAGAAGGTGTTGTCTGACTAAAACATGTTACCTATGGTGTTGTGTGACAGAAGAAAATGGAGTCTGACAGAAACGTGTTACCTATGGTGTTGTGTGACAGATGAAGGTGGAGTCTGACAGAAACGTGTTACCTAGGGTGTTGTGTGATAGATGAAGGTGGAGTCTGACAGAAACGTGTTACCTTTGGTGTTGTGTGACAGAAGAAGGTGGAGTCTGACAGAAACGTGTTACCTATGGTGTTGTGTGACAGAAGAAGGTGGAGTCTGACAGAAACGTGTTACCTTTGATGTTGTGTGACAGAAGAAGGTGGAGTCTGACAGGAACGTGTTACCCAAGGTGTTGTGTGATAGATGAAGGTGTTGTGTGATAGGAGAAGGTGTTGTCTGACTAAAACGTGTTACCTATGGTGTTGTGTGACAGAAGAAGGTGGAGTCTGACAGGAACGTGTTACCCAAGGTGTTGTGTTATTGATGAAGGTGTTGTGTGATAGGAGAAGGTGTTGTCTGACTAAAACGTGTTACCTATGGTGTTGTGTGACAGAAGAAGGTGGAGTCTGACAGAAACGTGTTACCTTTGGTGCTGTGTGATACAAGAAGGTGGAGTCTGACAGAAACGTGTTACCTATGGTGTTGTGTGACAGAAGAAGGTGGAGTCTGACAGAAACGTGTTACCTATGGTGTTGTGTGACAGAAGAATGTGAGGTTTGACAGAAACGTGTTACCTATTGTGTTGTGTGACAGAAGAAGGCATGTGTGACAGAAGAAGGTGGAGTCTGACAGAAACGTGTTACCTTTGGTGTTGTGTGATAGGATATGGTGTTGTCTGACCAAAACGTGTTACCAGTGGTGTTGGGTGACAGAAGAATGTGAGGTTTGACAAAAACGTGTTACCTATGATGTTGTGTGACAGATGAAGGTGGAGTCTGAGAGGAACGTGTTACCTTTTGTGTTGTGTGACAGAAGAAGGTGGAGTCTGACAGAAACGTGTTACCTTTGGTGTTGTGTGACAGAAGAAGGTGGAGTCTGACAGAAACGTGTTACCTTTGGTGCTGTGTGACAGAAGAAGGTGGAGTCTGACGGGAACGTGTTACCTATGGTGCTGTGTGACAGAAGAATGTGGAGTTTGACAGAAACGTGTTACCTATGGTGTTTTGTGATAGATGAAGATGGTGTGTGTCAGAAGAAGGTGGAGTCAGACAGGAACGTGTTACCTCTGGTGTTTTTATGACAGAAGAATGTGAGGTTTGGCAGAAACGTGTTACCTAAGATGTTGTGTGACAGATGAAAAGGTGGCGTCTTGACAGAAACGTGTTACCTATGGTGTTGTGTGACAGAAGAAGGCATGTGTGACAGCAGAAGGTGGAGTCTGACAGAAACGTGTTACCTATGGTGTTGTGTGACAGATGAAGGTGGAGTTTGACAGAAACGTGTTACCTATGGTGTTGTGTGATAGATAAAGGTGTTGTGTGACAGATGAAGGTGGAGTCTGACAGAAACGTGTTACCTTTGGTGTTGTGTGACAGAAGAAGGTGGAGTCTGACAGAAACGTGTTTCCTTTTGTGTTGTGTGACAGAAGAAGGTGGAGTCTGACAGAAACGTGTTACCTATGGTGTTCTGTGACAGAAGAAGGTGGAGTCTGACAGAAACGTGTTACCTTTGGTGCTGTGTGACAGAAGAAGGTGGAGTCTAACAGGAACGTGTTACCTATGGTGCTGTGTGACAGAAGAATGTGGAGTTTGACAGAAACGTGTTACCTATGGTGTTGTGTGATAGATGAAGATGGTGTGTGTCAGAAGAAGGTGGAGTCAGACAGGAACGTGTTACCTCTGGTGTTTTTATGACAGAAGAATGTGAGGTTTGACAGAAACGTGTTACCTATGGTGTTGTGTGACAGAAGAAAGTGGTGTCTGACAGAAACGTGTTACCTATGGTGCTGTGTGACAGAAGAAGGTGGAGTCTGACAGAAACGTGTTACCTTTGGTGCTGTGTGACAGAAGAAGGTGGAGTCTGACAGCAACGTGTTACGTATGGTGCTGTGTGACAGAAGAATGTGGAGTTTGACAGGAACGTGTTACCTATGGTGTTTTTATGACAGAAGAATGTGAGGTTTGACAGAAACGTGTTACCTAAGATGTTGTTTGACAGATGAAGGTGGAGTCTGACAGAAACGTGTTACCTAGGGTGTTGTGTGATAGATGAAGGTGGAGTCTGACAGAAACGTGTTAACTTTGGTGTTGTGTGACAGAAACGTGTTACCTATGGTGTTGTGTGACAGAAGAAGGCATGTGTGACAGAAGAAGGTGGAGTCTGACAGAAACGTGTTACCTATAGTGTTGTGTGACAGAAGAAGGTGGAGTCTGACAGAAACGTGTTACCTAGGGTGTTGTGTGACAGAAGAAGGTGGAGTTTGACAGAAACGTGTTACCTATGGTGTTGTGTGATAGATGAAGGTGTTGTGTGACAGATGAAGTTGGAGTCTGACAGAAACGTGTTACGTAGGGTGTTGTGTGACAGAAGAAGGTGGAGTTTGACAGAAACGTGTTACCTAGGGTGTTGTGTGACAGAAGAAGGTGGAGTTTGACAGAAACGTGTTACCTATGGTGTTGTGTGATAGATGAAGGTGTTGTGTGACAGATGAAGTTGGAGTCTGACAGAAACGTGTTACCTAGGGTGTTGTGTGATAGATGAAGGTGGAGTCTGACAGAAACGTGTTACCTATGGTGTTTTGTGACAGAAGAAGGTGGAGTTTGACAGAAACGTGTTACGTATGGTGTTGTGTGATAGATGAAGGTGTTGTGTGACAGATGAAGGTGGAGTCTGACAGAAACGTGTTACCTAGGGTGTTGTGTGACAGAAGAAGGTGGAGTTTGACAGAAACGTGTTACCTATGATGTTGTGTGATAGATGAAGGTGTTGTGTGACAGATGAAGGTGGAGTCTGACAGAAACGTGTTACCTATGGTGTTGTGTGATAGATGAAGGTGGAGTCTGACAGAAACGTGTTACCTTTTGTGTTGTGTGACAGAAAAAGGTGGAGTCTGACAGAAACGTGTTACCTAGGGTGTTGTGTGACAGAAGAAGGTGGAGTTTGACAGAAACGTGTTACCTATGGTGTTGTGTGATAGATGAAGGTGTTGTGTGACAGAAGAAGGTGGAGTTTGACAGAAACGTGTTACCTATGGTGTTGTGTGATAGATGAAGGTGTTGTGTGACAGATGAAGGTGGAGTCTGACAGAAACGTGTTACCTAGGGTGTTGTGTGACAGAAGAAGGTGGAGTCTGACAGGAACGTGTTACCTTTGGTGCTGTGTGATAGATGAAGGTGTTGTGTGACAGATGAAGGTGGAGTCTGACAGAAACGTGTTACCTATGGTGTTGTGTGATAGATGAAGGTGGAGTCTGACAGAAACGTGTTACCTTTTGTGTTGTGTGACAGAAAAAGGTGGAGTCTGACAGAAACGTGTTACCTAGGGTGTTGTGTGACAGAAGAAGGTGGAGTTTGACAGAAACGTGTTACCTATGGTGTTGTGTGATAGATGAAGGTGTTGTGTGACAGAAGAAGGAGGAGTTTGACAGAAACGTGTTACCTATGGTGTTGTGTGATAGATGAAGGTGTTGTGTGACAGATGAAGGTGGAGTCTGACAGAAACGTGTTACCTAGGGTGTTGTGTGACAGAAGAAGGTGGAGTCTGACAGGAACGTGTTACCTTTGGTGCTGTGTGATAGATGAAGGTGTTGTGTGACAGATGAAGGTGGAGTCTGACAGAAACGTGTTACCTAGGGAGTTGTGTGATTGATGAAGGTGGAGTCTGACAGAAACGTGTTACCTTTGGTGCTGTGTGATAGATGAAGGTGTTGTGTGACAGATGAAGGTGGAGTCTGACAGAAACGTGTTACCTTTTGTGTTGTGTGACAGAAAAAGGTGGAGTCTGACAGAAACGTGTTACCTAGGGTGTTGTGTGACAGAAGAAGGTGGAGTTTGACAGAAACGTGTTACCTATGGTGTTGTGTGATAGATGAAGGTGTTGCGTGACAGAAGAAGGTGGAGTTTGACAGAAACGTGTTACCTATGGTGTTGTGTGATAGATGAAGGTGTTGTGTGACAGATGAAGGTGGAGTCTGACAGAAACGTGTTACCTAGGGTGTTGTGTGACAGAAGAAGGTGGAGTCTGACAGGAACGTGTTACCTTTGGTGCTGTGTGATAGATGAAGGTGTTGTGTGACAGATGAAGGTGGAGTCTGACAGAAACGTGTTACCTAGGGAGTTGTGTGATTGATGAAGGTGGAGTCTGACAGAAACGTGTTACCTTTGGTGCTGTGTGATAGATGAAGGTGTTGTGTGACAGATGAAGGTGGAGTCTGACAGAAACGTGTTACCTTTTGTGTTGTGTGACAGAAAAAGGTGGAGTCTGACAGAAACGTGTTACCTAGGGTGTTGTGTGACAGAAGAAGGTGGAGTTTGACAGAAACGTGTTACCTATGGTGTTGTGTGATAGATGAAGGTGCTGTGTGACAGAAGAAGGTGGAGTTTGACACAAACGTGTTACCTATGGTGTTGTGTGATAGATGAAGGTGTTGTGTGACAGATGAAGGTGGAGTCTGACAGAAACGTGTTACCTAGGGTGTTGTGTGACAGAAGAAGGTGGAGTCTGACAGGAACGTGTTACCTTTGGTGCTGTGTGATAGATGAAGGTGTTGTGTGACAGATGAAGGTGGAGTCTGACAGAAACGTGTTACCTAGGGAGTTGTGTGATTGATGAAGGTGTTGTATGACAGATGAAGCTGTTGTCTGATAAAGAAGGTGTTGAGTGACAGATGAAGGTGTTGTCTGATAGAGAAGATGGAGTCTCACGGAGACAGCACCATGTGTTGTGGGACGGAAGAAGATGTTATGTGACAGAGAATGTGTTGAAAAAGGGAGAATGTGTTGTCGGACAGAGAAAGATTGTTTCTGACAGAGAAATTAGAGTTTGACAACAGGCAAAGTCTGAAATAAGAAGTGTCATCTGGCAAAGGAGTTGTGATGGCTGACAGAGAAGGTGGAGTCTGACACTGGACTGGGAAAAGAGGATTGAGGAGGACGTGCGTTGGGGAGTCATCTTACTGAAAATATTGGTCGTAGATGGCGGCTTCCTGGAGGAAGTAGATAAGCTCTCTCTGAGCCATCTCAAGCTCGATATAGGACTTGAATGTCGGCGGCTTGAGGCTGTTGTCCACCTCCATAGTAACAGTGATATCAGGACCGCACATGCAACAAGGACAGTTATCTGAAACATCCCTGAAAGATAACAATTAATTAATGGAATCATGTTTTACATGTACTTTTGTATTCAGTTTTGAAATACTAAAATTATCAAACTTATCTTACAAATTAACTTTGTACCGCCACATATTGAACTTTTTAAAATCTGCATTAAAGAGTCTCTTGCTTTGCTTTTTTCAGATTAGTATTATTCATTGAGAAAATAATAGATAAACAAACTTTTCTGTAGCGTCACTTGTATAATATCAACTTTCGAAATTAACCGTACTATTTGACAACAACAACACAAAATTATTCATTGATAGTGTGCCTAAATGTACCCTTTATAATGTCCATGAATATGTGCCAATGAAAATGAGTACATATACACCTGCCCGATTGGTCCAAATAATGTATCGGCAAATCGCTGGAGCTGGTATGTTTGATGAGACAAAAGAAGTTTTCGATCATTTCAACAAGGCATGCATTGCTCAGGAATGAGTCGAACAATTTCTTTTCAACAGCAAATTCTTTTCGAAACTTCAAGCATGTCAAGCAAACACTCCTTTTGTTCAATCACAGACAAAATTACACCCACTCCATTCAAAATACCAAATAGTCACTTCCTTTCAATCTACTAAGTGGGAGAGTGTGTACTTACTGCTTGGACGTCAGTGCAAGTGCCAGTGCCACGCAGGCCAGCAAACACACACACGATAGTGTACTCATAGTTCTTGTCTGCAACCTAGAAGGAACAAAATAACACTGCTTGAAATGGTACATTTTCATGTGTGACCTCATGCTTGGAATTGTTGGATTCTGTGCACATAGGCGACATCACCCATAGAAAATTATATTGAGATGTGCAAATAATATTGAATGTATGCTCTCAAGATGAATTATTTCCACGTATTCCAAACGGTGCTGAAACATACGGGAATGAATTAATTTTGTGTTTTCAGTTTCATATAGATTGAAATTAATGGAAAAAAGACCATGTCTCAACTAATTCCATTTGCTACATGATCCCATAGGGTTGGAAAGGGATGCAAATGGCAGGATTATTTCCATTTACTCAAAACCGTTATGAAATGGTAGTGGGAATGTTTGTCAGTCATACACTATATCTCTAGAGTTCCAGACGTTTGAAAATACATTGGACATACGTTAGTAATATCGATAGTGTGTATATACATTGTAACGTGATATCTAACCCCAGTGCCGGGTTAATAGCTCATTACCGAATGGCCCATGACGTAGACAGGTGAGGTGAAATCGGGTTTGACGTCGCGTCCAAGATTATTGCAATTCTATAGCGACGTGCACGTGTGTGTGTGTGTGTGTGTGTGTGTGTGTGTGTGTGTGTGTGTGTGTGTGTGTGTGTGTGTGTGTGTGTGTGTGTGTGTGTGTGTGTGTGTGTGTGTGTGTGTGTGTGTGTGTGTGTGTGTGTGTGTGCCGGACTGATGCCGATTTATAGTGCTAGCCCACTGAGATACCATGTCGCAGTTTAACATGAATACCCAAACTGACTCATTAGCCCATTACTGTCGAGCGCTGGGCATGGTAACAACAAGTACCGTCTTTTAATGTCTTTTGGAATGACGCGGCAGGGGATCGAACCCCGGACCGTCCGCTATCCGGGCGGACGCTCTACCACGAGACAACGGAGACGGTCCTATGACGTGTAGAGAGCGTTATAGTGGAGATTGTGTGGTAAGACAAAATCCATCGATTTACGAAGCACCAATCTACGCAAATGGGATACAATGACAATCATGCATTAACGAAGTCAGCGAGCCTGTCCACCCGATCCCGTTAGTCGCCTCTTACGATTAGCATGGGTTGATGAAGACCAATTATAACCCGGATCTTTTCGGTTCGTCTATTAATGACACATATAGGGTGAAAAGTGAATGGGTGAGTTGGGCTTTTAACAGTATTCCAGTATTCCAGCCCGAAGTGATGCAGGCCTCAGACCACTTCAGAGAAACCAACGAGCATGGTGCTGACAAACCTAGAAACATAATCGTGGCAAAATGGGATTCGAACCCACAATCACAGGTTTCTGGCGTGCGCAAGGGACGCAACTCTGCACAGCGAATCGCGGCGCCTTACACGACTAGGCCCCCCGTGCCCCCAGGAATGCTACACAATTAATAGATATAGATATGGATCTTAGATAATTAATTGTGTGTTCATACATCCCTTTCTTATAATTATGTTTTCCTGAATAATATTTTGTCTGAATGGAAAATATAAGGTATTTTTCACCTGACTGAGTATTATTGATCCATAGCAGAACGATTGTATACTCGATAAATTGATGACTAATTGAAATATACTTCGCAGGAAACGATCAATAACAATTATAATAAATGTACATTTGTATGTGTATTTACTGTAGGATCGACAACAGCTGAGGAAGTCGCATGTGGTTTTGGCAATTACATAAAGTTGAATTATATTTTACTACATTGGTTGCTCACTCTAAAACAGATTTAAACTGAACTGCATTCATCAATTGATTTCCTTAAGGACATCCACAAATATACTGCTAATATGTTTTCGCACGACTCTTAAGGATATTTGATAAAATTCTGTGTTGTCGTATTTTTTTTCATTTAATAATATCTTTCCAACAACTTAAGGATATTTTCTAAAATTCTACAATTTTTGTATTTCTTCACAAAATTTTTGGTACAGGGTGAATAAAGTGTGTACTTAACCTAAATATTTGAAATGTGTTGATATATTTACAGAATAATACGTGGGTATTCACTTACGAATAAACTATGCCTACATGTTATGAACGTCGTTTTTATGGTTTTTGTTCAATGCTTGTTGCATTCTTTTCAAGCAGAGAGAACATTCTCTGTACACGAACCTGCTTTATTTATATCAACCTACCCTGCATGACATAAGATACCATATTGCAATATAAGTTAGTTTATAAGGAGTAGTCCGTTTCCTGGCTCCATATACCGAACTAATCCTATATCAGGTGTACGATTCACCTACTCACAATGGATAATGGATAAAATAAAGATTATATCATTAAATGGCAGAGGTTTGAAAGTTAAGGCAAAGCGAAAGTGAAATTTCAGATTCTTGAAGAGAAGACGTTCATCAATCAAGGTATGAAACACCAAGTCTACGAAGACTTGGGATGTAAGATATGTTAATTTAGCTCATTTAAAGGTAATTCCAGAGGGGTAGCTATTTTGTGTTCCAAGTACTTAGAGGTGAGATCAAAAGGGGTTTAACGTCGCTTTCGAGATTATTCCACCCATATAGCGACGTGCATGCATCTGTGTGTTGTGAGTGAACGTGTGTGTATGTGTGGCTACTTGTACTAGTCCGGACTAATGCCTGTTTTGTAATGCAAGCCCACTGAGATACCATGCCACAGTTTAACATGAATATCCTACTCAGACAGACTATACCCACTCCGAGCTGACCATTCCTTGTTTTAGCCCCTTAATGTCGAGCACCAGGCAGGGTAACAACAAGTACCGTCTTTTAATGTCTTATGGTTTGACGCGGCTGGGAATCGAACCCTCGACCTACCTCCCTCCGGGCAGACGCTGTACCACTAGACCACGGAGCCGGTCCCAAGTACTTTGACAACAACCGTGTGAAAAGTCGTGATGCTGGAAATATGATTACAACAGAACATCCTGGATACATACAAACTTGCTACTATCAGTATACATGATCCAAATACTGATGAATCTAATTTTCATTATAAACTAGATGTGATGATACACACCCTAAACATGTGTGGTATATGGAGATTTCAATGGGGTTTATGATTATTTTATTAGTACTTATAACTATAAAATCAAAAACAACAATAAATCAAAAGGAGAGGGGGATTAATGCAGCTAAAATATGAAATAGATCTAGTAGATCCATAGCAGGATAGATACCCAAATGACAGATGATATACTCGGCGGCACCCATATCATTAAAACAAGCTCGGTTCAACTTCTCATAATATGATCATACAAAAGCATACTCCCATGGTGACCCACATACTAACTCGTATCATATTCACCTGGGCAAGCGGTGGTACACGAGGGTAGACATTGGGTCAGAGCCTCACTTTCCTCCTGGTAATTTATAACTCACGGGGGATGGTCGGGTAGCCTAATGGTTAAAGTGTTCACTCATCACGCCAAAGACCCGGGTTCTATTCCCGACATGGGTACAATGTTTCCCCAGCCGTGATATAGAACATTGCTAAAAGCGGCGTAAAACCATGCTCACTCACACACTCACTATAACTCATGAATGTAGTCTTACAGACCTGGTGAGCTGTCCATGTCCTTAAAACGAGGACTTATCACTTGTACACCAAACGTTAACATACAAAAGCAGTGTTTAAATAAATTGGTGACAGATTAAACTGTTATCTGTCTTCTCTTCAGTTGCATCTCTCACTCTATCTAGAAGGATACATTAAGGGGCTAAAACAAGGACTGGTCGGCTCGGAGTCAGTATACTGGGGCATGGTATCTCACTGAGCTAGCACTTTAAATCGGCATCAGTCCGGACTAGTACAAGCAGCCACACAAACACCCACACGTACATGCACGTCGCTATACAAGTGCAATAATCTTGGACGCGACGTTAAACCCCATTTCACCTCACCTCAGATCGTCACCGATTATCTCCGACAACGCGTAGGACAATGGAAGTCCTCTGACATGTCCCCAACAGAGATCTATGGGATTTTCAAGGCGGAGAGTGTACACCAGAGACCCAACACACGCCAACGTGGCCCAGCTTAGAGTAGCACTTCAGACGGGCAATACCTAGGGCAACCGTACACTAGTTATTCAACAGAACGCAAATGTCGTGCATGTGGATGTGGACACACAAGATATTGATCCACACACCCGAAATTAATTTTACATACATTTGTGGTAATTATTCCCTCGCTATCAATGCATCAGTTCCCTGATTCTTTGTCGGTAGTATAATCCAATGTATTTTATTGCATATAACATGACACACAACTCATTGATTAGGCTTGTATTTCGCTAAGTAACTATAGGTGCCCATATTATTTCATATATGCCAAACCTGCGTAAATATTTGCAATTATACGATTTCCGGTTGATTTCTGTACCTGAAAATTTAGAGGAAATGTTTCATTTCTAACTGTCCAAATTATTCCAAAATGTATGCAGACACATGTAAATGTCGTTGATTTGGTTTTGTGTCGCTACCCGCTGCCACATAACACACCTGCCATGATAATGGACGGTATGGACACTGAATAGAACCAAATGATTTAGAATAATTGGAACTTTATGCAGTTACATTCACACCAACACTATTCCAAATGAATCAAATCTGCCATGTCTGCTGCTGATATTAAACACTAAGATATAGCCCCCACCCAACGTTTTGCCCTCGTCTCCTTGGCAAATGGTAAAGCCCTAGGTAGACTTTACAAAAACTAAACTGAAGAATTCAGAAACATCCAACTGATCGCCAACAAGAATACACTCGGTTACGAAACACATGACACTTACAAATCTATATTTACAGATGGATCCAATGATGGTGACGTAGTACTGGATATTGAATAATATGTCATAGATTGCCAGACAACAGCTCTAAATATATCAATAACCGGGCCAGTCTGAACATTAACAGTTCATAATATTATCATATTCTATTTCTGATATGTGAACATCCCCTTTTACGTAAAATTGTTGAATTACATAATGATAACATAATTGCCACTGGTAAATATGACATCGTATTTTGTTGGTTACCCAGCCATGTTGGAATCATTGGTAACACAATGGCCGTTGCTGCTGCAAAGAACTCACTCAACAAATCTGTGACGCAACTTCTTATCACATACAGTGATTATGTACCTGTTATTACATGTTAGATCAGAGATCTAATGCAAAAGAAGTGGGACACCAAAGTAGATATCATCAAGTTACATGCAATAAAACCCACTATTGGTTAGACCTACTTGGGTTGTCAGTCCAGATTTGAAGAGGTCATTATGCGACGATGTCGTATTGGTCACGCTCGTCATACACATGGAAATATATTGGCATGGGGATGCTCCATTTTGTATTTTGCCAGTACAAGAGATAATTATTTCAAGGTTTCACCTATTAAGAATCCTTTTAAATCTGTCCCCTTTTATTTCTTGCTTTTTTAAGAAATTGAAATGTTACATAAATTTTGAGAATTTGTATTTCCGATAGTAGAATACGTTTTTCTTAATGTTTGGCTACATTCGCCAAAACCTGAGGGGGTGATGGGAATCCTGCTGGGGTTTATGCAGTAAGTAAAAGTGCTGTAAGTCCCCATGGGCCCTAATATGATGATCTATCTACCTTCAGCTGCTTGCGATCTACATACCGTTTTATATTGTGCTGTTGAATGATAGTTTATTTTAACATGCTCTGAAACCATTTTAAAATAAATATGTGATATTCTAGTCATTAACACACAATGCCACTTTGCCACTTGGCGAAATATAACGAATGTTACATCTGGGATAACACTTTCTTTGTAAAACATCTGTTACATTCTAGTTATTGTGCTGTCATAACATCTGTTACATTCTAGTTATTGTGCTGTCATAACATCTGTTAAATTCTAGTTATTGTGCTGTCATAACATCTGTTAAATTCTAGTTATTGTTCTGTCATAACATCTGTTAAATTCTAGTTATTGTGCTGTCATAACATCTGTTAAATTCTAGTTATTGTTCTGTCATAACACCTGTTAAATTCTAGTTATTGTGTTGTCATAACATCTGTTAAATTCTAGTTATTGTACTGTCCTTCGACGACAGGATTGCATAGTATTACAGTCCAAATATATTTGTTATTAATGTATCATTTTGCCTCGTCAGGATATGGCTGACATTTTACCGATGTGACATTAAATTGCACGCACACAAAATTCCAAACGTCAGGATATTGGCCTTTATCGTGCCGTGTAAGATATAATACGATATATTTTTATGTTTTTATCTAGAACAAATTCTGTTTTTGATATCAACGCGACGTTAAACCCCATTTCACATCACCTCATTTGACTAAAGTATTGCAGCGTTAAAAACCGACTACTGCGATGTAGCTGTAATCTTCCCAAAACTCTCCCACTCTTCAACTTCACAATAAACTACCTTTGCGATCCCTACATGTATTTTTGTGTGTAAATTGAATATATTAATGATACACGGATAATGTAAATACGCCTTACCTGTGCGGTAGATATCGACGTAAAGAGCACGATCCTTTAGGTCGCTTGTCACGGGTAACTGTGATTTATATAGTGACTGTCACGCGTACCGTGACACTTTTTGAAGGGCCACAGTCGTCTATGGTGCCGCAGTCAGTTTATTTTGGGCGCGCCAGAAACCTGTGACTGTGGCTTTGAATCACAAATTCGCCCTGAACATGTTTTTCCGTCACTCTACTGAAAACGTTGGTACATCGTTGTTTTTATGTCAATATAATGAATAACAAATGTTATATATCATTATTTCCTCTTAATTTATGTCGTGGCAGGAATACTTGAAATGAAAATTGTTATCCGCACTCTGACCTACCAGATAGACCACTATATAACAGCTGCACCAGATAGACCACCAATAAACGGGATATGTCAGCTACCCCATATAGTCTACCTAAAGTACAGCTGTGCGGGATTGACCACTATAGACAGCTGCACCAGATAGACCACCAATAAACGGGATATGTCAGCTACCCCATATAGTCTACCTAAAGTACAGCTGTGCGGGATAGACCACTATACACAGCTGCACCAGATAGACCATCAATAAACGGGATATGTCCGCTACCCTATATAGTCTTCCTAAAGTACAGCTGTGCGGGATAGACCACTGTAAACATCTGCACCAGATAGACCACCAATAAACGGGATATGTCAGCTACCCCATATAGTCTACCTAAAGTACAGCTGTGCGGGATAGACCACTATACACAGCTGCACCAGAGAGACCACCAATAAACGGGATATGTCCGCTACCCCATATAGTCTACCTAAAGTACAGCTGTGCGGGATAGACCACTGTAAACATCTGCACAAGATAGACCACCAATAAACGGGATATATCAGCTACCCCATATAGTCTACCTAAAGTACAGCTGTGCGGGATAGACCACTATACACAGCTGCACCAGATAGACCATCAATAAACGGGATATGTCCGCTACCCAACATAGTCTACCTAAAGTACAGCTGTGCGGGATAGACCACTATAGACAGCTGCACCAGATAGACCACCAATATACGGGATATGTCAGCTACCCCATATAGTCTACCTAAAGTACAGCTGTGCGGGATAGACCACTATAAACAGCTGCACCAGAGAGACCACCAATAAACGGGATATGTCGGCTACCCCATATAGTCTACCTAAAGTACAGCTGTGCGGGATAGACCACTATAAACAGCTGCACCAGAGAGACCACCAATAAACGGGATATGTCGGCTACCCCATATAGTCTACCTAAAGTACAGCTGTGCGGGATAGACCACTATACACAGCTGCACCAGAGAGACCATCAATAAACGGGATATGTCCGCTACCCCATATAGTCTACCTAAAGTACAGCTGTGCGGGATAGACCACTATAAACAGCTGCACCAGATAGACCACCAATAAACGGGATATGTCGGCTACCCCATATAGTCTACCTAAAGTACAGCTGTGCGGGATAGACCACTATACACAGCTGCACCAGAGAGACCATCAATAAACGGGATATGTCCGCTACCCCATATAGTCTACCTAAAGTACAGCTGTGCGGTTGGTTGGTTGGTTTGTTGTTTAACGCTGCACTCATCAATATTCCAGCGATATGACAGCGGTCTGTACATAATCGAATCTGGTCCAGACAATCCACTGATTGACATCATGAGCATCGATCCACGCAATTGGGACCGATGACATGCATCTACCAAGCGAGCGAGCCTGACCACCCGATCCCGTAAGTCGCCTTTTACGACAAGCATAGACGCCTTTTACGCCTAGCATGGGTTGCTGAAGACCTATTCTACCCCGGAATCTTCACGGGTATACAGCTGTGCGGGAGAGACCAGTATAAACAGCTGCACCAGATAGACCACCAATAAACGGGATATGTCAGCTACCCCATATAGTCTACCTAAAGTACAGTTGTGCGGGATAGACCAGTTTTAACAGCTGCACCAGATAGACCACCAATAAACGGGATATGTCGGCTACCCCATATAGTCTACCTAAAGTACAGCTGTGCCAGATAGACCACTATAAATAGCTGCACCAGATAGACCATAAAAAAACGGGATATGTCGCTACCCCATATAGTCTACCTAAAGTACAGCTGTGCGGGATAGACCACTGTAAACAGCGGAACCAGATAGACCACCAATAAACGGGATATGTCAGCTACCCCATATAGTCTACCTAAAGTACAGCTGTGCGGGATAGACCACTATAAACAGCTGCTCCAGACAGACCACCAAAAAAAGGGATATGTCGGCTACCCCATATAGTCTACCTAAAGTACAGCTGTGCGGGATAGACCACTATAAACAGCTGCTCCAGACAGACCACCAAAAAAAGGGATATGTCGGCTACCCCATATAGTCTACCTAAAGTACAGCTGTGCGGGATAGACCACTGTAAACAGCGGAACCAGATAGATCATCAATAAACGGGATATGTCAGCTACCCCATATAGTCTACCTAAAGTACAGCTGTGCGGGATAGACCACTATAAACAGCGGAAGCAGATAGACCACCAATAAACGGGATATGTCAGCTACCCAGACTGAAACGCAAAGGTAAAACCTACATCTCTACCTAGAGAACTAAAATGTGAAATTAACAAATTACCACACAATGCCCATGAATAATCAGTGCATTATATTGAAACATAGATTTATGCTTACAATCAAACAAGGCAATTCAAATACGTCAAATACGTGGCAGTAGCAAAACGTAACAGTCCCTATAATGTGTCAGGGCACTAAGGATTGTCCACAATTTTGTCATTGTGGATTGTCTTGATAGATGCGGATATGTCCTTGAATCTGCAATAAAATTGGAAATTGGCAGGTATTCGTTGTTTTCAGATGGGAATGCATTCCGCACTTGGCAAGTAGATAAGACGCAAGACCGGCCGAAAAAGGCGCTCGTGTCGCTCTTATATGGGTACAGCCAGCTTTCTGGGAACTTTTTGAACGATAAAGTATACCCAGGGTATTGTTCACAATATCGGTCATTGGTGTAACATTGTATTCCAAGTGAATTGTTCACGATCTCGGCAATTGGTGTGATATTGGCGTATATTATATTTTTCGCGAGTATATGAAAAATGTCTTTGGTGATTTAATCAAACAAAATGGGTGTGTTTGTATTTATTTACGTGTTTATTACAACTACATCACATTCAGGAGAAACAACAGAAGTCATCATGTTTTCAAGTTGGTTTTCGTTTTATAAGGACCGTTGAATTGAAACGTTTACTGGAGTGATACGTTTCTAAATACCATCTCCATATAAAAGCACTGACTTAGCTACACGTAACTGATGACGGATTACTGGGTCGTATTTGAGTACCCTTGGAGCAGTTATCCTTAATTTCAGGAATTGATTTCCAACAGCTACACAGAACATAAACTTTGCTTCTCCTCCGTTGCGTACATTCTGTATTTGTGATCTTGATCCTGATGCATTAGCCAACGTAACCTGTATTGAGACACTGTATCGTGTAGCGTCTCTCCGTTCTGTATCCATGAGGTGGTATGATGGCTAATGTCGTCCTGAATACGAGCACACCTGACACAGACAGGGGAGTCGTTAAGTACAGTCACTGAGTCAGATGTACACAGAGCGACAAAACGAAACAAGGTAACAATTCAAACATATTTCGGCCAAAACCAACTTTTTTAATTTGTGGAAAAGGTTTCAAGCCGCAGAGGTCTACAAGCACAGATATGGCTACTGATCCCGCTTGGCTGGGCCTAGTGCCCTCGCAAAATTAGTTCGAAATTTATATCTCCAAAGTTGCCAAAAGTTATAAAATGCCTTAGCTACATCACAGTTAGACACTGATTTTCAGTATATTAGATTGTTCTTTTGATAATGATAGCAATTATCCCTTTAGTTTATCCAGATTCCCGATGGTTAATTCTGACTCGATTGCCGAATGACAAGGGCGACGCCATGTTTGTTTGTAAACACTGAAAGTAGTCCCTACCTGACCTTTGATATTTGCATCTCTATCCGCATATGACCCCGACGGATATTGTTTTTATCCGTTGGCTTTATCCTGCCGAGAAACCTACCCATTATATGATAATATTGTAATATTCCTCATCATAAGTATTGGTTTGGTTTTCGGTAGTGTTGATTTCCATTAGCGCCTTGAGCGCATTCGTAACGTGATTAAGCTCCTATTGTTTCGATAGATCAGAAATTCAGTAAATGAAAACTTTCGATGGTTTGATCGTTATCAGTAAACGCATTAGCAAAGTATTCTTGATGTAGATCAGAAAAGGTATGCATGCATGGTTCACCTCAATAATCCACCGATTTTACTGTTCCTGTAATATCCCTTGAACCCCTTCCCAGCTGAGGTCAAGTTGACAGTATTTAGACCTGAGAACCTTATATCGTAAAACATCTCAAGCATATTGGCTAATAAAGCAATAAACATAATACTGCCAGTTATGCTCTGTAAGACCACATATGATTGCTATAAAAAGTCAGACAAAATGTAATTAACTACTTATGTTTGCGATATGGCGTGCGACCAAAAGTAATAAACATACGAGTATGGTACAAGAGTGGCAAAGAGGCTTCACAAACCCACACTTTACACAAGGATGTCCGTAAATCATTTCCGAGAGATATATTCCAGATCTACTATATGCATAGTTGATCAGTTATGGCAAATGGACTTTACAGCTGCGACATACTATGCCTCGGAAATTACTGGATTTAGATATATTCTGTTCGTTATAGATGTGTTTGATAAAATTGCCATGTGTAGAACCGTAGAAACTTAAACAGCCTTTAAATATGCTCAATGAGTTTAAAGGTATATCAAAACAGGCTGATCCGAGGTCCCCCGAGATCATTCAAAGCGACAAAGGTAGTGAACTCAATAATAAATTGTTTGAATCCTTCGCGAATAATGAATTATATTCATATAGCAATGCCATTCAGAATTGGTCTTCAGCAAGCCGTGTTTGTCGTAAGAGGCGACTAACCGGATTGGAGGGTCAGTGTCGCTGACTTGGCTATTGCATGTCATCGTATCCCAGTTGCATAGATCGATGC